ATTATATTTTATTATTATTTTAAATTTATAATTTTAATAATTTATAAATAAAAATATTTATTAATAATTAAATTTAAAATTATATAAAAATATATTTTATTTTAAAAATATTATTAATATTTAAAATAATTTATAATTTTTTAAAAATTAAAAATTTTAATTTTATATTTAAAATTTTAATTTAAAATTTATATTTATAAAAATAAAAGTTTTTATATAATTTAAAAAGTTTAAATAAATTTAAATTAAATTATAAATTATTTATATTTTTAATTTTATTATTAAATTAAAATAAATAATTAAAATTTTAAAAATAAAATATAATATATTTTTAAAAATTAATTTAATTTAATTTATTATATAAAGTTTTTATAATAATTTTATAATTTATATTTATAATATTTTTTTAAATATAAAGTTAAAAATTTATAATTTTAATTTTTAATTAATTTTTATTTAATTATTTTATTATATTATAATTTAATTTAATTTTATTTAAACTTTTTTAAATTTATTTAATATTTTAAATAAATTAAATTTAAATTAAAATTATAATTTTTAATTTTTTAAAAATATATTAATTATTTTAAATAATAATAATTTTTTAAAAATAAAATTTATTTTTATATAATTATAAATTTAATTATTAATTATTATTTTTTTATAAATTTATTAAAATTATAAATTTAAATAATAAAATATAATTATTTTATTTAATTATATTTTAATTTAATAAATTAATTAAATAATTATTTTAAATAATTTTATTTATAAAATAAATAAATAAATATTTATTTAAATAAAATTAAAAATTTTAAATAAATAATAATTTTATTTTTATTTATTTTAATTAATTTATATTTAAATTATATAATAATTTTATATATAATATTTAATAATATTAAAATTAAATAATTTATAATTTATAATAATTTTAATTTTTAATAAATTAATTTATATTAAAATTAATAATATAAATTTAAATTAATATAATTTAATATATTAATATAAAAGTATTTTTAAAATAAATAATATTATAAATAATTATAAAATTATTATAAAAATTTTATATAATAAATTTAATTAAATTAATTTTAAAAATATATTATATTTTATTTTATTTAAATTTTAATTATTTATTTTTAATTTAATAATAAAATTAAAAATATTAATAATTTTATAATTTATATTTATAATATTATTTATAATTAAAAATATATTTTATATTAATATATTAAATTATATTTATTAAAAATTAAAATTATTATAAATTATAAATTATTTAATTTTAATATTATTAAATATTATATATAAAATTATTATATAATTTAAATAAATATAAATTAATTAAAATAAATAAAAATAAAAATTATTATTTTTTAATTAATTATTAAATTATTTATTAAATAATTATTAATTATAATTATATTTAATTAATTAATTTTTTAATAATTTTTTTATAATTAATAAATATTTTAAATTAATATTTTTAATTATTTAATTATTTAATTATTTAATTATTTAATTATTTATTTATTAATTATTTAATTATTAATTAATTATTAAATTATTATTAATTAATTATTAATTAATTTATAATTTTAATTAATTTAATTAATTTTTTAATAATTTTTTTATTTTATTTATTTATATAATTAATTAAATTATTTAATTAATAATTAATTAATAATTATTAAAAATAAAATTTATTTTAAATATAAATAATTATTTATATAATTATTTAAATAAAAATTAATTATAATTAATTATTTTAAATAAAAATATTTAATTATTTATTTAATTAAATTAAATATATTAAATATATTAAATATAATTTTATATAATAAATATATTATTATTTTATTTATATAATTAATTATTTAATTTATAAAATTATTATTTATATTTAAAATTTTAAAAATATTTAAAATTAATAAAATATTTAATAAATTAATAAATAAATTTAAATTATTATTTATAAAATATTATTATAATAAATTATAAAAAATTATTTAATAAATAAAAGAATTATTATAATTATTTATAATTTAATTTTTTATAAATTATTATAAAAATATTATTTAAAATTATATATTAATTTAAATAAAATATATAAAATTATTATATTAATTATAAAATTAAATTAATAAATATTTTATTTATTTTTAAAAAGTTTATAAATTTTAAGTTTTAAAATTATTAATTTTTTAAAATATTATAAATATATATAATATTTTTAATAAATTTAATTAATAAATTAAAATTAATATTAATTATTATTATTATTATTATTATTATTATTATTATAATAATTTTATAATTTAATTAATAAATTAATATTAATATTAATTATTTTATAAATATTAATATAATTATTTTATTTATTAAAATAATAAATTATTTTTAAATTTTATTATTAAAATTAATTAATAATTAATTTATAAGTTAAACTAATTTAATAAATTAATAATAGTAAATAGGTTATAGCTACTTATATAAGTAAATATATTAAGTAGGTTACTTTATTAAATATAGCTTTATTATATCTTTTAAAAGTAATATATATAATTAAAATAAATATAACTATATTATAAATAATCTTTATTTCTTTTATATATATATATAGAAAATTAATTAATATAATTAATATTAATTAATTTAATTTATATATAAAAATAATTAAAATAATATATATTTATTTTAATTAAAAGTTTATTTAATTAAATAATAAAATATTTAATTAAATTAATTAAATTTATTAATTAAATTTAATTTATATATATATATAAATTATTTATTATTTATTTATAATAATTAATTTATTATAATTTATTATTTTTATAATTATTTTAATATAAAATTAAATAATAAAACTTTAATTTTATTTTTAATAATATTTATTTTTAATAATATTTATTTTAAATTTATATTTAATTAATTTTTATTTATTTATTTATTTTAATTAATATTTTTAAAACTTTAATTAAAATACTTTTTTATTTTTAAAATTAAAATATTATTTTAAAATAAATGAAAATTTAAAATTATATATTTAAAATTTTTAAAATATAATATAATATTTAAATATTTAAATAAATATTTAAATATTAAATAAAAATTAATTTTTAAATATTTAAATAAATATTTAAATATTAAATAAAAATTAATTTTTAATTATTTAATTTTAATATTTATTTATTTAATAATTTTTATTAATTATTTAATATTTATTTTTAATACTTTTATATTTATAAATATTTTTAAATTAATATTAAAAGTTAATAATATAATTTTTAATTTTTAATATTTTAAATATAAATATTTTTAAATCTTTTTATATTTTTTAAAACTTTTATTTTTATTTTTAATAACTTTTAATTTATATATTTTTAAATATTAACTTTTATATAAAATTAATTAAATATTAAAAATTAAAAGTTTAAAATTTAATAAATTAAAAAATATTAAAAATTAAAAATATATTTTATTTTTATTTTATTTTTATTTTTAATATTTAATTAATATTTAAATAAAAATTAATATTTAAATAAAAATTAATATTTAAAAGTATATAAATTAAAAATATATTAAAAAATATTAAAAAATATTAAAAAATATTAAAAAATATTAAAAATAAAATAAAAGTTTTAAAAATATTAAAAAGTTTTAAAAACTTATATTTAAAGTATTAAAAATTTAAAGAATTTTAATTAAATATATAATTTTATATAAATTTTATATATAAAATTTAATATTAAATAAATTTATAAAATTATTAAATAAATAAATATTAAAATTAAATAAATAAATATTAATTTTTTAATAAATATTTAAATATAAAGTAATTTTTAAAGTATATTTTTTTATAAAATATTATTCTTTAAAATATTCTTTTATAAGAACCTTTTTTATAGAATTAAGTTTTATAGTTAAACCTTTAATAATAGGTAATTATATAAGTAGAAAGTGTATTAGTAGGTGGATAAAACTGTGGTAATACTTAGTTTTAATGGAGGCTATATATTATAAAGTAGAGCTAGAACCTTAGAAAGGGTATGGTAGCTTTTATAATTGTCCAGTTTGGGCAGCTTAGATGCCTGGGTCACACAGCAATGGTACTGTCATGTAGTATTTAATAGTGTCAGGCTAGGTTACTCACAATGTTGCAATAGCTCCAGTCCATCACTCCACGCTTGACAGACCAGTTCATGTCAAGGCTGATGTCTTTCAAGGTTGTTAATGGAACCAGTGTGAGTAGGTATGGTCCAAGGCTATGGCTGCTAGCACAGAATGGCGGCCTCTAACTACCCTCTTATTTGTGCTATATAAATCCGGCCTGTGAACCCACTTGATCCCTAATGTCTGTCGACTCTTCATCCAACCACACAACCAACTGCAAACATCAAATAACCAAGCCTCAATCCTCAAGAACATTCAAAAGCAATCATTCATCCAAAAATTACACAACAGGGAAGCTTGAACCACTGCAAAAGTTTGGAATTCATTACTCCCAAGACTAGAACGATGGGTCAGACCATCTCGCGCTGCTCCGGGTCAAGGTCAAACACCTCTCAACCCCTTCCAACACCCTGTACATCTCGACTTGAGCAGCTTCCTGTGGAGTTAAAGCTTGCAATTTGCCATTTCCTCTCGCCGGCATCCGTTGCAGCTTTGTCACTCACAAGCAAATACCTCCGCTTCGTCTTGATCTACAACAACATGATCGACCAGTCACTCAGAGTGAACGGCGAGCAACGCATCGAATTCCTCGGTCTCCTGGAACGGGACATTGGTGAAAGGTTCTTCCTCTGCACACGCTGTGCTGTGCTGCGTCGCTTTCAGTCGGGACGTGGTGTGGGATGTGGTCCCATCGAAACTCGTTACGGATTTTGGACCAGGAGCTGTTTCCATATGGAAGACACGTATGGATTTTCTCTACCATACTTGCTCAGCCATCACCACTTACGCCTTGTCATGAATCGTCACCTATATGGCCCTGATCATGGCCTTTCGCTGCGAGACTTGGAGGCAGGATGCGTGACACCTTTGTATGGCGGAAATGCAGGCTGGCGCCAGGAATGGTCCGCACGTATCATTAACGACGAGTTGTTCCTCCGTGTGAAGCACAAAATCCATGGTCATCACGAGCAAAGGCTCCGCCAAATCATCGATAAAAGCGTTTATTTGATCTGCCCGCATACATGGCTGAACGCGGGGCTTCGTGGGCGGCCAGTTGCCCTCCAAACTCCATCACCTGGCGCTTCTGAATCAGATTCACTTGCGGGCTCTTTGACCGGGCCATTATTTACAGAGTGTGAAGAAAGCCACGGCTCTTGCGGAATTTGCCTGACGGACTACACAGTCAATGTCAGATTGAGGACTTCGAATCATCAAGCTGGTAGCCGCGGCTGGGAAATTACTATAACTTCGTACCATCAGCTGGGTGAAGGAAGGTCTCATTCGGACTGGAAGTGGACCTTATTCACTAGCACCACTAAGTCGCCGCCCGTGTTAGTAGCTGGCTCAGGTTCCCACCAAGCAGGGACGGTTATAGCCCAATGGCTCGGCTAGACACTTTGGAGGGGTGTCTTCAGAGTGTCAGCCCAACAGAATTGGTCAACCAGGGATCAAAATGCTTTCATAGTAATTTTGCGACAGTGAGCCTTGGCATGGAAGCGAAACACCTAGCGCTGGGGATGATGGGGTCAGAAGTTTTGAAATGGGGGGACCAAAGCTTGCTCTAAGGCGCGTTTTTACGATGGGAATGATTCAATGTTGGCTGAGCCTCAGGGTTTCTAGTCAAACCCTTTTTTACTTGCACAAGTATTATCCAAGATTGCCTTTAGGTATCTACATAAGTAGATAGTGCCTGAAGCTTTCTGTAACGAGGAAAACACTGGAGTGAACATCGCACCTCATGGCACTGTCCGCCCCAGCTTACACAATAACACTAGAGTATTACCTCAAAATTAACTAATCATTTGCCGCATGTCACTTACTTCTTCCTGAGCTGCTTCTATGCCCATGTGGGTGGTGTATTATCAAAAGTTGTGCTGTTCCTCAAACCACTAGATCTAGCCGTTGTGTCCCTAATTGCGGAGCAATAAAACCTGCCAGGCACCACAGAATTCCAAACATCGTCAGACATCCTAACAAGAAGACTCCAAAATAGAAGGTCTCTACTGGCCTTTTTATCAGTGATCGCTGAGGAGATGGTCGTCCATTGTGCTCTCTGCCAGTCACTTTACCCACGTGCGGAATGTGTTTGAAGTCAAACTTTGTACCACCGCCCAAGCCACCTTTGCTCTGAATGACAGCCTGATGCAGTAAGCTCCTCCAAAAATGGGTAAGCATACGATCGACCGGCGGAAAATTTTGCTGTGCTAGAGCAAGCGACCGCACCAGCCAACAGTGACCCCTGAAGCACGCGTACGAGTACCAACCGGGGCACCCAAGACCTAGAGAATCGCATAAGTCATCACCATTCAGAACACGGCTACCCGCCTCAATGAACTGCGCCGATATGTTGAAAGGGGGCAAGTCTTTGAGGCACTCGATGAAGTTGTGCCCGACAATCAGCGACGTCGGCGTCACGTGTAATTCGTGGACAAGCATGCTTTCCATGACGGCTTTGGACTTGGCAACAGTATCAAAGTAATGATCCGGAGTGCCGAGAACGTATCCGATGTAGCGAAAAAGGGCGATATAGTCGGCGATTTCTTGCTGGCTCGGATACACACCCATCACAGGCAGTTGGAGCCACATGTGATTGCACGCGAAGGTCGCGATGGAGTGGATCGAGTCAAGCGTGTTGACCGGAACTCCAAACCTCTTCACATCAAAGTAGTCTGGCCGAGACTCGACAAGCTTCATGATGCGCTGTCGGACGGAAGAATGAAGGAGCCGTACGCGGACCGTGGTGATATGGCCCTCTCCTCCGGGCTTGATGGCATCGAGTGATTTGGTCGCCTCAAGGAGGAATTGAAACGTCTCAAGAAGCCTTCGCAGAAGTACACGGGTTGAAAAGCCACCTGTACGAACCAAGACCTCTACGACTCCAGAGGCTGCCGAGTTCTCGCCCATGAAGCCCTGCAAAGCGAACCCCATGAGGTTTGCAGGGGCATACCGATAAAAGAACCTTTGGCCGCGTTCCAATTGAGCCCAATCTACCCACTCGGGGACTTTATGCACCTCATTCCAGAACGTTGCGAGAATCTCATCATTTTTGTAGTTGTCGGACAGGAGTGTGTACAGATCGGTTCTGGGCCGACCACTGCCGTCGCGGGGTTCTTGATCCTTCTTTTCCCTGGCGACTTCTTGCAGCTTCTCCACAACTGCGCTGCCCAGCTCGTCATATTCATAGCGTAGCGGATCCGTCTCTTCTCTGGACAGGTGAAGGTCGGTCCATTCGAATCGATAGTTACCAAACTTGCGTGTCGCCATTTTCAACGAGTCAAATCTGATGGATCCTGGAGGGGTAGCGTATGAAGAATAAACTAAGTATATTCGGAATAACAGGTTGAAAAAGGGCCCGGCGCTGATGTAAGAAAGACTATTGTGCGGCGGGGTCTGTCAGCTGGATGACAGATCATTATCAACTACAGGCCGCAGTCCCCACATGGGAAACCGGAGGTGCATGGCCACGGTATTCCTAATGCTTTCAGGGCTCTGGTCATTTCTAGTAAAAGTGTCTTATTGACTTTTTGGTAACAGAAACAAGCAGGCACATCCTCTTTTCAGATGTCTCGATTCACAAACCGTCTCATCTCCAAGAGCCCACCCTGCTGCTATCAGATTTAACTGGGCAACAGGCTGAGCTTTTGGCTAGCAGTGCTCAGATAGAGATAATGATGGCTGTGATAACTCCATCCCCCCCATTCTTTCTGTCATGTTCCCGTTCATTCTAGTTTGCGACTAATCTTTCCTATGTTAAGCCCAGCCACTAGGTGTTGTCAGCCCGATGCTAATCCTAGCAAGTCAAGTCCTCTTTGCACCAGGGGCAAGAACACCTCTCAACACAGATATTATAATTCCTAATCCGGTCTAGGACTTTCCAAAAGAAAAACCAACAAAATTTCAGTCTTCAGCACAAGGCTGTGAGACTAGGAGTCAGAAAACGGCCGTCAGGGTTGGTCAACCAATTTTTCTTGGTCACCTTGCCTGTTATATTTGACATGAGTAGGGTTCTGCTCATATGATAGGAGGACAGAATACGTGTCCCTTCTGCACCTCTGGCTGAGCTACGAGCACTGTGGCTGGGTCAACTGGCACCTGGGGCCTGTTTTCCATCTCTTTGAGCAGACATAAATGCCCGGATGGACAACAAGTAAAAAGACCGGAACGCATGGATGGCATGGATTGAGTTTAGTGGAGAAGAAGGAGCACGCGGGTTTGGAGATCCAAAATGGAAGGAGACCCGGCCTGGATGTTACAGTATTTTGAATTATTATTGTTGGATCGTGAGCCGAGGCCTTTAAGTCGCACCAATGATGCGAACCTGGGACCCAGATGGGGCTAAAAGGATCCGCCCTTGCCCCGCGCAAAGTCCATCTGATAAAGCAGCAAATCTTATCAGATCCGAAGAGTTTGCGGCTTGGCGCCCGAGCCCGCATGGACCCGAGGCTTCATCACAGGCTCGCGCGGCGAGGCGACGTGGGACACAAAAACTGCGCCTGTACCACAGTACAACACACACGCAGAGTCAAGACGAGCGCAATGTCCTCAACCACCGCTCCCCTCTAGGAATTCCGGCACCCTCTGCGCCATGTGCCTCCAACTGCCCCGCCCACTGTCGGTCGAACCTGGAGGACGATCTTGACGAGCGGTGACTGACAGACTGCGCATGGCCTGGCCCGCTTCCGGCCTGCATTATTCATAAAGTTGGTCACCAACCACTCACCCCTCCCTCCTCGACCTGCCCTGCCCGCTCTCCTGCCCTCCCTCCCACATGTGCCCACTGCCCAACCACTGCTCATCTCGTCGGTGCGCCGTTGGCTGCGTGCGGCCCCCGGCTGGTCAAGGTCGGCTTGCCCCCTTTCCTGGCGGCGCAACCATCGGCGCTCTTCGCCCGCCCACCTACGCATTTGCCAAGTATACCCGCTCGGTACTATACACATTGACTGACCGGCTCAAGTAGAAGGCCTGCCCAGGCTCCTGACGACCCCGTGCCCCCGCCTCTCGAAACACCAACTGCACGATTCTCGCTCGACACAGAACCACCCAATATGACCTCGACTCAGCTGGGCCTCGACACGCCTCGCCCGGCTTCCATTCCGGCACCTTTGGACGTCAAGGCACGAACGGCGGCAATGGAGTCCATCGAGGACATCTGTCACGGCTCGGTGTGTACTGCCAACCGTTTCATGACTCGGGCCCCCGGTGTGCTAACCGAACCCCCCCTACAGGTCGCCGGAATAGTTGGCAAATACATCGAATACCCCTTCGACACGGTCAAGGTCCGCCTCCAATCCCAGCCGGACCACCTCCCCCTCCGCTACAAAGGCCCGCTGGACTGCTTCCGCCAGTCTATCAAGGCAGATGGCCTCCTGGGGCTGTACCGTGGCATCAGCGCGCCGCTCGTCGGTGCCGCCGCCGAGAACAGCAGCTTGTTCTTCTTTGAACGGATGGGCCGGGAGACCCTGTACAAGACCGGGTTCTGTTCCCGCGACACGCCGATGCCCCTCCCGGCCTTGTTTTTCACAGGCGCCTTCTCCGGCGTCTTCACCTCCTTCGTCCTGACGCCCATCGAGCTGGTCAAATGCAAGATACAGGTGCCGGAGCACGGGGTCGGCACCCACAAGCAGGCACCGCTCAAGCCGCTGAACGTTATCAAAAGCATATTTCGACAAGAGGGCTTCCTCGGGTTCTGGCACGGCCAGGTGGGGACGCTGATCCGGGAGGCCGGGGGCGGCGCGGCGTGGTTTGGCTCCAAGGAGACCACGTCCAAGTTCTTCATGAACCAGAACCTGAAGAAGGCCAAGACGCAGGCAGAGAAGGACGAGATGCTGGCCAACCCGCTGCCGCTGTGGCAGCAGGCCCTGGCTGGGGCCTCTGCCGGCGTGACCTACAACTTCCTCTTCTTCCCCGCGGACACCATCAAGTCACGCATGCAGACGAGCCCTAGCGATGGGTCGGTCGTGAGGAGGACGTTCTGGGGGGAGGCGGCCGCGCTGTGGCAGCAGGCGGGGCTCAGGGGGTGCTACAGAGGCTGCGGCATCACGTGCTTGCGGTCAGCACCGAGCTCGGCGTTCATTTTCATGGTGTTTGATGGCTTGAAGAAATACATGCCGCTTTCATGAGTTCGTTGGATACCCAGTCATAAATCACACGGAGAGACAAGATGGCAACAGTTTTGTGCAGCGAGGTCCCTGGAGACAGGGTCCATTTTCTGATCTGGCTGGATATGGGATAGAGTACAGTACACAACACAGGTAGAACGGCCTTATAGACGACATCAAACCAAATGCAAAGGGTTCTCACAATTTGGCTTGCTTGCTTTTGAAACAATCGTGCTCATGCCTCGTGGAAAACAGATCATGTGGGTGTTCAACACCTCAACTCCAGGCGAAACATAAAAGTCGGCGGACCAAAGCTTTCGATGAAGAGGCAGGAAGGCTCACGGCTTGGCCGGCTCACTCCTTCTTGAGGTCCTTGTTCTTGAAGTCCCAACCGTTGAGGTATCCGGCGCCGGAGCACAGATACGTCGCGAAGCTCAGCCAGCCAAGGTACGGCAGCATGCAGTAGGCTGCAATCCTGTCGATGGGCCACCAGAGCCTTGTCAGGTAGACGTTGAGCCCCAGGAGAGCGACGATGTCGACAGTTGCCTCCACTGGGCGCTTGAGGCCAAAGAAGAGGGGCATCCAGGCCAGGTTGAGGCCGAGCTGGATGGTGTACAGTGTTGCGGAGTGCTTGGTGTCCCTGATGAGCTGCGGTGTGGAGGTCAGCGGGCTCAGACCGGCGGTGATGGCGCGGTGGGCCGCGTAGCCCATGAGCCCGTAGAGCAGCGTCCACGCTGGGCCGAAGACATAGGGTGGCGGCCGGAAGGGCGGCTGTTTGATCGACTGGTAGGTCTTCTGGGTCTCTTTCGCTGTGTGCTTGTCAGACCTTGGTGCACACAACAAGGTGCGTGGATATAGCTCAAGTATAGCTCGTGTGTGTGGTCACTCACGCCGAGTGCTGTACCCAACCGCGGTCCCCAGGCCGATGGGGAGGAGGATGGAGGCCGCAGGGTTGGCGAAGACGCCGTGAGGGATCGTCAGAGCCGGTATATAGGCTGTCATGGTTGCAACTGCGCTGGATTGGAGTCCTGCAGGTGAATTGAGCCGTTGCTGTGCACCTTTCGTTTCTACCCGCTTGAATGGTGTTGGTTGGAAATGAACAGGCGACAGGTGGTGAGACTCGACAGAAGCTCACACTGTCCGGGCCTTGCGGCCATGTATGACGACATGCCAGCGGAGCATGCGAGTCTCGAGCAGTTCCATACAGCAACTGGGCTTGGCAGTGGATTTCAGTTGCTTTTGGGGTCTAAATTGACCTCGAAAAAGCTGTCTCTTGGGAAACATGGCATTTATGTCCCTGCAGACCTCATTTCTTTTCACAAGTACGATGCCGTCTTTTGACAATATGCAGGTGCCTCGGCACATTACCCGGGTACACGTTTGATCATATACATCATCACAAGAGCATGGCCACACTTTAAGAAATATAGAAACAATATTAGAAAGGCAATACAGCTTGTTTATCTTTTATCTATTTGTCTAAGTGAAGTAGGATATTAAGAAGTGTGTAATTAAGGTAGGGAGTTAAGCAATAAGGAGTTTAGTTATAAGAGGCCAAGATGCGAGAGTTATATGAGAGCCCAGATGTTGTGACCTAGAAGAATAGGAGGTTAGGATTTACAGGTCAGTAGGTACCTAAGACCCCAACAAAGCTCGAATCGTATCCGGGTGTGCACGGTAGCACCGACCACTTAAGTACTTACTACAGAGTACCTAGGAGGTAGCTAGGCAGGGTGCTACATAGGGTGGGTGGGCGCTTATGTCAGACGGCGCTAGCCCCAGGTCGGCGCCTCTTGTTGGACTGGCGGCGTGGGCCGGCGACTCCTCTCTTTCAACCACCAGAGCCGACCTCCCTGGATATCCACTCCTGGGACGAGAGGGCGCCCAGCTGCTGCATCTCGCAACAACAGATCCAGACTCGCATTTTTGGTTGCGAAGTCACCCTCTTGGCCATTGTTCGTTCTACCTTTTCCGTTGAGTTTCGGCCCCCCCCTCGTGGAATCACTCCCCCCCGTTTCTGCCACGTCCCCAAGACGATAGCTTCCTTCAGCTCTGCTTCTTGCACACCCGCCCATTTGTCGCATCGATCATCATTTGCTTGTCTTGTCAAGCAGCAAGCCATCATCTTCCACTTCTTGTCCTCTTACCTCACCATCGTTTGCTACGGACGGATTCTGCGTTGCTGCTGGTCTTCTTATCCAATCGCTCTCAGCCCTCCTGCTATCTTCAGAACCACCCTCATTCTTCTTTTCCTGGTCAGAATGTTTTCTCTAACGGCAATCACGTCGCCAAACATTAGGCTTCCTCTTTCTTCCAGTCTACGACAAGTTTCTGATATAACCTGACCATTACCACCGCCCACGGCCCACCGCCCAACCCTCGTCCCGCCGACCTGCTTCAAGCTTGTGCAATGGATTCCTACTACAGAGACTCCGCCCGTTCTCCTGGAGACAGGACCTGGACGCGTGATGATTCGAGAAAGATGGACAGGGCTGACGATAGCTTCTACCGCGGAAGATCTCCTGGCGGCCATGATCGCCGCCGGTCCAACCGTTCTCGATCCCCCCTGCCCGTCGACCGGTATGAGCCTCGACGAGCGAGAGAAGACTACCCTCCTCGCGACAGGGATGATAGGCGCCGCATCACATCTCCGCCAGCCAACATTGATCGGTATGTCCCTGGGCAGGAGGTCACACCGCCTCAACCTGTTGCTGCCAACCCTATTCAGGACCCTCTGAAGCTGCCTTACCAGGTGGGGTTCTCCTACTTCGGCGAGTGGTGGAGGCTCAATGAGAAAGTCAAGGAAGAGAAGGAGCGTCAGCGCACGGGTCGCCGCCGGGAGCCTGATCGCGCCCGAGCCAACACGCAGGAGGAGCGTGACAAGGAGAAGGCAAAGATCCAGGCCGCGTATGACTCGTACAAGGAGAGCCTACAGGCAAAGATGGCCAAGACCTTTGTCCAGCAGCACAAAGACGAGCAGTGGTTCCGTGAGCGCTACGTTCCCGAGGTCAGAGATCCTCTGAAGGCCCAACTCACCGAGTTCCGAAAGGGCCAGTACACCCAATGGGAGCAGGATCTCGAGTCTGGCACCTTCGATGAGTTCACCTTGGAGGGCATACCTAAGAGTGAGAGCAACGGCGCGGGTGGCATCGTCGAGAAGGAGGAGGGTGAAGCCACTGCAGCAAACGAAGTCCTTGGTGTTGGGGACTTGGTCCCCGCCACTAGCTCCGATCTCCGCGATGAGAACCTCTTTCAGCCAACCCTCCTCATCAAGACGATTGCTCCTAGCGTGAGCCGTCATAATCTGGAGGCGTTTTGCAAGGAGCATCTCGGAGAGGAGGAGGGCGGTTTCAAATGGCTCTCTCTCAGCGACCCGAACCCATCTAAACGGTACCATCGCATAGGCTGGATCATGCTTCACCCTGCTGCCGAGACCGGGGCCCTCATCGATCGTGCAGACCCGAAAGAAGAGGACGATGATGGGGACATCAAAGTCAAGAGCCCTGGCGCGTCACCCTCAACTGCCGAGAAGGCGTTGGAAGCCATCAATAGCAAGACCGTGAAGGACGAGGTCAGGGGGGACTTCGTGTGCCACGTTGGCGTGCACAACCCACCCGCCAACCCGCGCAAGAAGGCTCTCTGGGATCTCTTTTCAGCTCCAGAGCGCATTGACAAGGACCTGTCTCTTGTCCATCAGCTCGTCAACAAATTCGAGGCGGATTACGGCTCTGACTTTAACGCCGTTCTAAAAGTGGAGGAAAAGGTCGACGAGCTCAGAAACGCCGGGCGTCTACAACCTGCGATCACCTCAGTCAAGAAGGAGAAGATCAAGAAGGAGCGGTCAGTCAATCTCGACGAGGCTATGGACGAAGGGGAGGAGCCTGAGCCAGAAGACGATGACGATGAAGATGAGGGCGCCATCGACGATGACGAGGTCGACGATGAGGAGCTTTTGACCAAGAAGAAGCAGCTTGACCTCCTCATCGAGTATCTGCGCCGCGTCTTCAACTTCTGCTTCTTCTGCGTCTTCGAGAGCGACTCGGTCCATGAGTTGACTCGGAAATGCCCTGGAGGTCATCTCCGTCGACCCAGGAGCACCCTGTCCTCTGCGGCAAAGGAGGTCGCCCGTGCCAGTGCTCTTGGCGAGCCTTTGCCCAAGAAGCGCCCGGATACCGCTGAACTTGAAGAAGGCGAGACCACCGAGCCAGACCGCAAATTCAGGAACGTCAGTAAGTCTGAACAACAACTCCAGCGCGCTTACAACTGGGTCAAGACATTCGAGGACAAGATCAAGCAAATCCTGGAGCCAGAGTCTGTCGATATCCGGAAGCTTGGCGGCAAGCCCATCGACGAAGCTGTGGCGGAGGAGATGGCCAAGTTCGTAAAGCAGGAAGACGAGCACAAGTGGAGGTGCAAGGTTCCCGAGTGTCAAAAGCTTTTCAAAGAGGAGCATTTCTGGCGCAAGCACGTTGAAAAGCGTCACGGGGACTGGCTGGACGGCCTCAAAGTAGACGTAAGTTGTCACAACCTCGGTCTGCGCATGCTGACTGCTAACATGACGCTCAGTTTGAGCTAATCAATGCGTACGTGATTGACCCGGCGCACATCGCGCCGTCGCGAACAGACGCCAATTCCAACGGCCACTTCCCGCCGGCGAATGGTCAGGCGCCAACAGGCACGCCGCGAGGATTCAATCTGGGTAACTATGGTCTGAACAACATGCTACCCATGGGGTTCCCTGCCATGCCTAACTTCGGGCAAATGTTTGGCGCCATGGCCAACACTGCAAACTGGAACCCGTCCGGCGGAGGAGACGACCGCGGCGGCGGCCCCGTCCGACGCGGTGGGGCCTTCGGTTCTACCGGCAGAGGTTACAATAACAACCGATCCAACCCCTACGACCGGCCACGAAACCCTCGAGGTTTCGATGGCGGCATGGGAGGCGGCATGATGGGCGGCGGACGTCCTAACCGTGGGGGCCGCTGGGGAGACGGAGCTGGGGCCGCAGCCGTTGGACCACGCGAGGCCATCCAGGGTCGCACGCTGAAAAGTTACGAAGATCTGGACCAGGCCAGCGGCGGTGGAGGCGGGGAGTTGAACTATTAACTTGAAGGGACCCTATTACGTTCGTGACATGCCATAAGCATCTTGTCTCTGACTCCATCGGAAAGCAGAGTCTCCTACAAAAAAAAATCGAAGTCCGCAAGTTTGTGCTGTACATTAGAAGGTGGTTATTGCCCACCGGTTGTTTGTGGGCTGGGATATTTTTTTCGTACTGATTAGCAAATCAAAGACCAGATCACTCTGAAAACAGGCGCTCATGAGCTCGGCTGCCATCATCTCGCAGGACAGCCTCCCACGATTAACCTCATGTGCTCCTCTAGGATAACCTCCCAAGGAACAACTACCTATAAGACCTATTCCTTAGCGGACAAACTCATATAACATGTCTTGCTATAAGATAACTCCTCATATGATATATTCCTGTAGGGTCATGTTTTTTTATAGATATCGTCTAACAGGTGATAACACATAGAAGAACCTCCTATAGAAGAGTGTCCGTGTATGTAGATGGGAAGCAAGTCACAGGAACTCCACCACGGCGTATTTTGATGTTTGGAAACGTGGCAGTATCACAGTACCTAGGCACCTAGGCACCTAGGCAGTAAATGTATGTGATGAAAGCTGATGCTCACTCATTTGCTGAAACGCAGTGCTAGGTAGGTGCTTGGCTTCCTAAAGGCGAAGCTGACCAGTTCTAAAGTTGTGCCAGCACTTGCCCATCCGTGCAGAATACTCTTATGAGAGCGGTTCCTTCCAAATCCAAGCACCTATCAATCAAACGATCTCGGAAGGAGGGAGGCCCGAGTCGCAAGTACAATCGACAGAATCGAAAGGAAGGAATAAGAAGCCCGCCTATCATGAAGCCCAACGATCGACCACTCCAACACAAAGAACTCCGAGGTGAAATTAAAACTCAACAAATGAGATATCGAGTGTATCAGGTTGTCGCCAACCCCTTGCCAATAACCGCGGCAATCTCCATCATGACGCGTACACAGATGCGCTCCGCGCCTTGACACAGAAGCAGGGCTACCTCACCACAGGTCGTTTATGCGCCGGTAGTGCTCCATCTGCTGAGGAGTAGGGGAATCCCTCGTAACCTCTCCGAGAGGCTTCTGGCCGGTGACACGCTCGAGGAGGTATTTCAAGTACAGGCCGCCCTTGGGGTTGTGGCCCGTCTCCTGCCTGGTTATGACGTACAGGCCGTCGTAGCGAATCCCGACCGAGGGGGCGTACACGGATCCCTTCTTGGCGGCCCTGAGGACGCGGACGGGGTTGCGCGTGGTTAGGGATCTCTGAAGGTGCCCGGTGCCGGTCTTCTGGGGCGCTGCGTTCCTGTCCTCGTTCTCGGCACTGCCCGGGGCCGAGTACCAAATGGTCTCACCGCGGCTTCGACGTTGATGTCAGCCTGGCCTTATCGAGGAAGGCAAATGATGAGAAGGGGGGGGCGTGAACTCACTCGTCGTCAACGTCCTTGTATGTCGTGGCCACGACAATGCTGAAAGCACCGTGGTCGGTGTTGCCGGTTATTCCAGCCTGGGACGCCCCGTGAGCTCCAGCCACCAAGGCCGAGAGCCGGGTGGGAAACCAGGCGCCCACCTCCAGGCCGTTGTGCCCCGAGACCTTGGCCGGGCGGCGCATACTCTGATATCGGGGGTCGAGTTTCTTCTTTCCGTTCTGCGTCACGGCCACGCCGCGCATGATCCCGTTCCTGCCCCAAATCGGATGGTCAGAGGGAGGCAGCCTGATGGTGACAGTAGCACTTTCGGGCTCGTCGCTGCGGGCAGTAGGTGCCACGGCCGTGGCTGGAGACGCGACCTCGTCTTCCCCTCCCTCACCCTCCTCCTCGTCGTCATCATCATCATCAGAAGTAGGCACAGCGGCGCCCCAGTTCTCGGCCCGGAAGCGTTGGAGAAGCCTCTGGGCGCGCTCCTGGACGTCTTGTGGGAAATAGTACTCGGGACGGTTGAAGAGTTCTAGTACGAGCTCGATTTTGGCCTTGTCCTTCAGCTCCGGAGACATGTTGGTGTCGAACTCGAGCAGGTCCAGCCACCTGCGAGTTCGCCTGAGCTGCTCACTGTGCTTGAAGATGCTCAGGTCGGGGATCCCTCGACCCTTCTTGCTGGCCTGGGCGAAGTTCTGAATGGGGTGGCGCTCGGCCACAAACCATCGGATCCTGGCGACAAGGGCCTTCTCGACCTTTGGGTACGTGATGGTCGACACATCCGCGCCGACCGGTTGGCTCGGAGCTGCCATGCTGAGAAATCTCAGCTTCACTCTGCCTTCTCAGGAATACTCTGTGTGCCAGTTTGGCGAACTTGAGGAAACCCCAGTCCTTTTCAGGGCCCCGAGATTCTTCAGGTAAAGCACTGAACAGGTTGGTTGGTTGGCTTGGGTGTGGATGTTGTTGCTGGTAGCTATCACGTACGTCAAGGATCTCGGCACGAAAGAGATGGCTGTAATGGCTGCTTCGGAACTTGGTCAACACAGCTTGGAACGACCAGGAAAGATACACAGGGCCTTTAAAGATGTGTATTTGGGTCGGAATAGGTCCACTGATGACCAAGGTGTTGGTTGACATGCGTACCGTGGGGACTGGTGCTACTGTGATTGCAGGGATGCTTTTGTAGATGCAGGGGATGGTTTCCTCGGCGATGTGGTGTGGGTGCCCGCATATGGGAGAAGATTGGACACCATCACCTCTCAGGGAACTGCAGGCAGGTTGTGTCAGAACAGATGACTGTGTAGCAGCACGGTATATTGTCGAGAGATTTGTGGAATTCCTCATTCCATCAGTGCCGCTCTTCTCATCAAGTTGCTGCAAGATACAGCCCTCTCACCTGGCCCAGCTCGCAGCTGCCTGAGTAGGCAATCGTCAACAAAGATTCTGTGGCAGATGCAGTCTGAGAAATAGAAGGAGAATCACGCTTCAGCTCGTGCCCGGAAGCCTCAGGGGCAAGCAAGTGTGAGAAGGAGACAACAAACAAGATCCGCACAGCCGGGCCAAGGGGCCTCAGGGGACTTCACACCTGCAACAGGTAGATGTCACTGAAAGATGGATGGACCAAAAACTCGTATGTCTGTCTGGCTGCGGGTTTGGTGAATTATTGCTGATGGAAATCAAGAGATCCGGAAGCTGTCTTCACAGGTGATGGCTGGCAAATCGAAATGATTTATCAGGCTCAAATTGGAATTGCTTTTGCTGGTGTATGTTTTGAAACCCATACGGGAAAGTCCTTTCACACAACAAGTCTTTATCAAGTTAGATGTCTTATTACTCCTGCCTGCCTTGGTGTGACGTGTTGACCACACCCAAGGTAGCAAGGCAGGCAGCCAGCTTGCCGGGAATGATAGCCCTCACCCAGTATCCAAGACAAAGCTTGTAAAGTGCGTTCAGATCCTGGACTGTTGACTTTTAAAGACCCGGCAGAGGAAAAGCAGAGCTTAATGGCACCAGATACTAGATAGTGCTGTATCACCACGGCAAAGCTCCAGTCCGAACCCGTATGGCGTCGAGACGGTGTGTAAGCTGGAGGCCCCTGCGCCTCTTTCTCCCGGAGGAGTCATTCGGCGGAACTGCAAGCTTGCCTGATGTGCTCAGATTCTGGGTGGTATTATCACTGTATACCGAATCTGCAGCCAGGCAAACCGGTAGATGTGGGTCTATCTCGGCCCTCGTTGATTATGGGACACTTGCCCATTGTTGACGCTGGTGTCTGAATTTGGGTCCCGAGAAGTCATGTGTCGCAAAAGTAGAAGAACAAGAATAAGAGTGACCTTGACGTAAGTAATCCAGGCCTGTCGAGGCTTGCACTTACACCCACGATATGTGTCTCGTATGAGGGACAACTCGTTGAGTTGGTAGTCGGAGGATGGGACTTCAGGATGGGTTCAGCGCAGGCGAGATGACACAGATGACACCACGTCCCCAACACGTGGGGCTTGATCTCAGAGCAGATGGGCTAAGAGCAGATGCACGACTCCATAGGGCCTCAACACATGCGACTGGAAATACCTTCTACCTTGGACGAGCGGCCCTTGATACGGCTACTGTCGGCACAGGCCATTGGGGATCCCGGCAGCGTGACAGGCGGAGCGAAGACGGCCGGTGGTTTCCAAGTGCGAAGGTTTGACTGCCGGGCACTTGTGCATGATAGTTATCTAATGGAATGGTGGACTTGGCCGGCTCGACGAGTCGCGGCCTCACGATGGGGCAGGTGCTGCTTGGTCCGACTGTAGGAGTGAGACAAGGGAGAAAGTATTCAGGTATACGGACTGACGGAGTTATGCAAGCACCGACCCCAGGTTTCACTTCTCCAAGATGCCAAGGTCACACGGATCTGGCCTGCAGTGGGCAACTGTTGAGCCTCCTGCTTGACTGCTTGACTGCTTGACTTCTGGCCAGGTGACCCACCGAACCCAAGGGGATGCTGTACGGAGTACGGAGTACTGGGGACCGGGTTCCGCAGGGCGCTATCTTTGCAGCCTGCCCACAGTAGGCGCATGCTTCCCGGCCCAGCACTGAGCATCTCGAGCTGGCTCCCGGGTCTCAGCCAGTGGAGAGATGGTTGAGCATCATCGAGCACGATCCCGGTGTTGAGACAGAGCACAGGACCGGCACAGGTACAGCATGACCATGAGTCTATCATGCGGCACGATACGATGGCCGGCACCGGACCGGTTGCCCCGCGCTGCTCGTAGTGTCCGTAGTAGAGGCGTTACATATACACCCGGGATGCATCGCCACCACCACCCTCGACCATGCCCGGCCAGCACAGCACCAGCAGCCCTTAACACATCACACCCACCAAGCCCAATCCCCAAGATGCCCGCAGCAAAGGAACAAAACGCATGGGTCGGCTACCGGGGCGCTGCCGGCTTCGATCTTCGCAGTAGGTCATGATGATGGGTCATGATGGGTGGTGACGACTGAAATGTCCCGTGTACGGACGGTACTGACGGACGCCACAGGTGACACCCAGACGACCCCGACGCCGTCAATGCTGGCTGCCATTGCCAACTGCACCCTGTTGGACGATGTCTTTGAGGAGGACACCACGACCATCGACCTGGAGGCTCACTGTGCCGCGCTGGCGGGAAAGGAGGCCGGCCTCCTGATGCTGTCGGGCACCATGGGCAACCAGGTCGCACTGAGGTCCCTCTTGACCCAGCCACCCCACGGCGTTCTCTGTGATCACCGTTCTCACATCGTCGTCTACGAGGCCGGAGGGTAAGTGGGACCAGGCGACATCCCCTTGACCGTCATCATGGCTCACCCTCTGCAGCGTATCCTCCCTCACCGGCGCCATGCTCGAATGTGTGCGGCCGAGCAACGGCATCCACCTGACGCTCGAGGACGTCCAGGAACATGCCCACATCGATGACAATGTGCACACCTGCCCGACCAGGGTCATCTCGCTCGAGAACACCCTCAACGGGATGCTGATGCCCCTGTCCGAGGTGCAGCGCATCTCCAGCTGGGCCAGGGAGCACGGCATCAAGATGCACCTCGACGGGGCGCGGCTCTGGGAGGTGGCCGCGTCGGGCGCCGGGAGCATCAGGGAGTTTGCCGAGTGCTTCGACACCCTGACCCTGTGCTTCAGCAAGGGCCTGGGCGCCCCGATCGGGAGCATCCTCCTCGGCACCAAGACCACCATCAAGCAGGCCCGGTGGGTGCGCAAGACCATCGGCGGTGGGCTCAGGCAGTCCGGTGTCGTGGCCGCCGCCGCGCGCGTGGCCGTGGACGAGACCTTCGGCAGCGACCCGAGCGGCAAGGACGGGCTCTTGAGGAGGTCGCACGAGATGGCGGCGCAGGTGGCCAGCATGTGGACGGGGCTGGGCGGGAAGCTCACGTACCCCCCGCACACCAACATGGTGTGGCTCGACCTCAAGGACGCCGGCTGCAGCGACGCGCGCATCGCCGAGCTGGGGAGGGAGCAGGGCCTGCGCCTGCTGGGCGGCAGGATCATCTGCCACTACCAGAGCTACCAGAACGCAGACGTGGTCATACCCAGGCTCGAGGCCATCTTCAAGACCATCATGGCCGAGAAGGGCCAGCGGGTTCCCGCTGCCAACGGCGCCGGCGACAAGGCGCTCTACAAGTAGACGCACGGCTCTTGAATACGACATGGTTCCATGCAGACAGCCAGACAGCCAGGCCAACCTCGTGTTGACTCTTTGCACATTGTGGGCCCTTGACACCGGATGGACATACGTCTACCCACCGGGTCGCCTCCTGGGCTGATGGCGTGGCGCCTGCTCCTGACTGCTCCCGACCGGGCCGCCACCGCCTCGTGTTAGACCCCAAGCCTTGTCTTAGTTGTGAGCTCATTGCCTAATAGATAAATAGGCCCCGTCACGGGGCATCGGGTTAGACAGCCCGCTTGGAGCGCACTACTCTGCGTCGTAAGAAAGGAAGAAAAACTTTTAAACAACCCCCGAGTCAGGTCCTGTGATGAAAACCGCCAAGCAATCGTCAAAACCGTGATGCCCTCGTTCCAAAAAGCAGCAGCTTTGCTCGCTGCTGCCACCGGGGGCTACGGCCGAGCACTCGACAGCATCTACCACGATGGAGAGAACATTGCACCATGCAGCTCCGTACTGTACTGCCATGGCGAGATTCTGGATGCCGTCCAGATGGCCAAGCCATTCGCCGACTCCAAGACCTTTGTGGACATGTAAGTCCAACCGTTGACCGCACGAGTAGACCGAGGCCACGTTGCTCACAAGTCTCCAGGCCAACAAAGGTGCCACTGCGGGACCTGCAATCCGCGTATGACCAGCTTACGAAGCCACTTCATAACAACACCGAGCTTCTGGACTTCCTGGGGGACAACTTCGGTCCTGCCGGGCAGGAGGTGATACCCGTAGACCCAGGGTCTCTGTTCGTCAATGCGAGCTTCCTTGACGGGATCGAAAATGCCGTGAACAGGGAGTTCACCGAGGCCGTCATCAAGCTGTGGCCAAACCTGACGCGGTCGGTCAACGAGTCCGCCATCTGCCCCGGGTGCGAGAGAAGCCTGCTGTCCATCAAGCGACCGTTCGTCGTCGCCGGTGGGCGCTTCCGGGAGCCATACTACTGGGACTCGTACTGGATCCTCCACGGGCTGCTCCGGAGCGGTGGCGATTTCATAGCGATTGCGAGAGACCAGATCGAGAACTTTTTGGATTTTGTCGCGGACTATGGGTTTGTACCAAACGGGGCTAGGGTTTACTATCTCAACCGCTCGCAACCGCCGTTGTTGGCGCAGATGGTCAGGATATACCTGGAGCAGACGGGAGATACAAGCATACTTGATCGTGCGGTCCCCCTGCTTATCAAAGAGCATGACTTCTTCATGTCCAACCGGACTGTCCAGGTCCCCATTGAGGACAAGAACCACACACTGAATCGGTACGTGTCCCAAGGGGGTATCCTAGCAAGAAAAGTCCGTTGAGTTCGCAGGGCACTCACACGAGCAACAGATACAATGTCGCCAACACAGAACCTCGGCCAGAGTCGTACTTTGAGGACTATACACAGGTCAACAACGCGTCCTATCACGCAATCGACGGCAGGATAATCCCGGCCAGAAACACCACCCAAGCAGAGAAGGACCTACAGTACAGCAATCTCGCATCGGGCGCCGAGTCCGGCTGGGACTATACAGCGCGGTTCATGACGGACCCAAACATTGCTGCCAACAACACCTACTTCCCGCTGGCTTCCTACAACATCATCAACATAGTCCCTGTGGAACTGAACGCGATCCTGTATTGGAACGAGGTCACCATCGCCGGGCTCCTGCGCCGACAGCAGGCGCACAACGACACTGCAAAAGCCGAAGCAGACGAATGGGACGCCCGGGCCGCGTCCCGCAGCGAGGCTATGCACGCGGTGATGTGGAACGAGACCCTGGGCAGCTACTTCGACTTCAACCTGACGTCCGGCGCGCAGGACGTGTTCTGGGCGCGGGATGCAGACTCGCTCCCCTCAGAGCAGGCGCCGGGCGGGGCGAACCAGCAGGTCGTCTTCAACATCGGGCAGCTGTTCCCCTTCTGGACGGGGGCGGCGCCTCGGTCCGTGGCCGGGGACCCGGCCGTCATGAGAAGGGTGTTCTCGCGCGTGGACGAGTACCTCGGCTCGCGGAAGGGAGGGATCGCGCCGACAAACTTCGTATCGGGGCAGCAGTGGGACCAATCCAACGTGTGGCCGCCGCACATGCAAGTCCTCATGGAGGCGCTCCTACGGACGGCGGGCGAGGCCGTTGAGGATGGTGACGGCGCCGGCAGTAGCGAGGAGTGGGCATGGGCACACGACCTGGCGCTGAGGATAGGGCAGAGGTATTTTGACTCGGCGTATTGCACCTGGTAAGTCAGCCCCCGACTCTTGGTCGTCGCGGGACACTTTGGAGTTATCCTTCTGAGGTGGAAGGCTAACGACGCATTCGAACACTCCAGGCGCGCCACAGGCGGCGGGACCCCGAGCGCGCCCCCACTGCCCAACCCGCTGCAGAACCTCGGCGGGCAGATGTTTGAGAAGTACTCGGACCAGTCGCTCCACGAGGCTGGCGGCGGCGGCGAGTACACGGTGGCCGTGGGCTTTGGATGGTCCAACGGGGCGCTGATCTGGACGGCCGATACGTTCCGCGACCAGCTGCAGACACCCGTGTGCGACGACCTCTTCGCCACGGACGGGCCCGGTACCAGAGCGAGGAGGCTGGGCAAGCGTGGTGAGCACGGCGATGGCGCCAATGCCGCCAGCGCAGTGGAGCTTGATTACTTCGACGCGACTTGGACGAGTGAGAACGTTGGGGGCCTCCGGCCTGTCAATTAGCACACATGCGATTACTATTGTATTGAAGTAGATCTAGCTGGGCATGAACTCTTGACTCTTGTTGCAATGACATTATTCGAAGGGTCGGTCGTCCGCTCGTCGTTGTGTCTTCCGACCCGCTCTTGTTGGTATGCAACACACCGAGGAACCCGGCCGTATCTTTCAGCCTTGTCTCTTCCCCGGACAGATTTCGTTGTCGAGACAGGACCGTGCTGTCCTGCCCGTCTCCGCCATTGGGCACAACCTCTCACCCATGGTCAGCCGGATCTCGAGGCTCCGCGTTGTGAAGTCTCGTGGGCGTCCTGCCAACACAGTCCTAGATGAGCAAAGTGCAAAGCACAGGGCGACGGTCGTACCATCAGATGACGCCTTCCAGTCCAGGACACTCATCCCTGAGCAACCCATAAGTCCGCATGTCCAATGACCTCCCGTCCTTCCAGATAGCCTTCCTCCTCAGGCCTTCGAATTGGAACCCAGCCTTCTTCAACACTGCCTCGCTCGCCAGGTTCCCCTCATAGACAGCAGCTTCGACGCGCAGGAGGTCAGGGAAGGTCGAGAAGGCCCAGGCAGTGAAGGCAGCCACGGCCTCCCGTGCGTAGCCTCTGCCCCAGTGCTCGCGACCCAGCCAGTACCCAATCTCGACGGTACGGGCCTCGACGTCTTTGAAAGGCTTCAGGCCGATGCCGCCGACAAAGGCACCGTCGGATGAGCGACAGATGGCGTAGTTGAGAAGGATGCCCTCGGGCCGGAGGGGACTGGCCGACTTGTCGGTGAGCGCGATGCCGCCGATGAAGAACTCGGCGTGCTGCAGCTCGTAAGGGTTGGGGAAGGTGTTGCGCATCCACCTGGCGATGTCTGGGTCATTGGCCTGCTTCGCGCTGGCTGCTGTGTCTGTCGGGTGGTAGGGGCGTATAAGTGTTTTTGCGAGGGTGAGTATGGGCGTTGTGGGGAGGGACGGTATTGACGGGGCGTGTGTCGTGGGTGAGGCCATCGTGAAGCGCGGCTCGCTCTGGGGGCGTCTCAGGGGCAGCCTGCTGTGCTCGGGAGAAATCCGTATTGGGCGGCTGTGACGGCTAGCATGGACACACTGGCGGCCTGGGAAGCTTGACCGAATGTGTGATGCCAACCTTCTCGGGTATACTCTAGCAGGCAGGTGATGAATGAGTGACGGGCGACTCAGGGCGGCCAGTCCGTGATATAAGTCGGCCTGACGAGCTAATGAGTCACGCCAGGGCGAGATTCTGGGCCAGACACGATATTGCTGACAGTGTGTCTCTGTTTCTCTCACCGGAGCGCGGCAGGGGGAGTGGCAAGTGAAGCTGGCGCAACCCACAACATCCACAGACATCCGCAACTATTGCCGGCAGACCTTTCCTGTTGTGGGAGGCAGTGGTGATCCTCCCGCTGCTCTGCGCCGCAACCCGCCGTGGGGATATGAGCAGTCGTAAGGCAGACAGGAGGGCAGAAGTGGGATGGGATGGTGGACGTCGGACGGTTGTGACTGCTCACATCGTTCTCGACCATTGCGTAGGACTGTGAGCAGGCTGCGAACCAACTTTCGTTGCTACACCCATGCCACTGGCGTCATACCATGCCGGCATTGTTCCTGCCGAGGGAAGAGAGGGTACAGAAGTCGAGCGAGGCTAGCAAGGTAACGAACGAAGGGGGTGAGATGATGGTAGGCGAGACGGGCAGTAAGCAGCACGAGCAGTCTGGAGTCTGGCTGTCTGGACTGGACTGGACTGGACTTACATGCGTGCATTTGCTACTCCGTACTACCTACCTAGGTAGGTACTGTGGTATGCTGGACCCGACAGATGGGCCAGATGGACCCTGGTGTGCCTGGGGCCAGGGGAGGGGCCGTCGGGATGTACCACTCCAGGCCCCCGGGAGCTGGCTGCAGGGGACCTTGTGGGGGCTGCAGCACCCAACCCAAGGTCCTGATTGGGACGCCCCCGTGCTAAGACCGGGGAAGCTTGTTCTACCCTACCACAGCTTGCGCTACACGTGCTGGGGGCTGCAGGCCGCGCAACCGCAATGCCGCATTGGAAAATGTGAGGTGGCCTTTCGGTCCCAGGACAGACACCACAGCCAGAGCACACCCGGCCAGGCCAAGCTCCATCAAGCCTCGCCGTCGACATTCTCACCACCACCTCGTCACTCTCCTTCGCCATTTTCTCACCCGACCTGGCTGGCTGGCTTCAGTTGCTCTGTCTGCTCCATGGTCAAGCTCAATTGGCCTGTATTTCTCATGACATTTGTCTGTCCACCTCCCGCCGCTCCTTGATCGTGCACCGGTCCCGCCGCATTGCCGCCCCCCCTCGCTGTTCTGCTCTCCTGTCCCACGCTGGAAGCCCCTGGGTGACCCTGCAGCTGCCAGGCTCCTCCCATCTGTGTCGCGGCTCACCGTAGATATGTCTGCCAAGTCCCGTTTCACAAGGCTTGACGCCTTCACAAAAACTGTCGAAGATGCGCGCGTCCGAACAACCTCGGGCGGCATCGTCACCATCGTGTCCTTGCTCGTCGTTTTGTACCTGGCACTTGGCGAATGGGCAGACTATAGGCGCACAGTAATACACCCGGAGCTGATTGTTGATAAAGGACGCGGTAAGTTTGCCACGCCCACCACCTACCTACAAGGCCCAATTCGAGACCACAGACCCGGCGGGCTGACCGATGGCGATCGCTCGACTAGGCGAGCGGATGGAGATCCACCTGAACATCACCTTCCAGCGAATCCCTTGCGAGCTGCTGACCCTCGATGTGATGGACGTCTCGGGCGAGCAGCAGCACGGCGTGCAGCATGGCGTCAGCAAGGTCCGCCTCCGCCCCGAGTCCGACGGTGGCGGCGTCATCGACACCAAGGCCCTGGCCCTCCACGACGACGACGAGACCGCCAAGCACCTCGACCCAGACTACTGCGGCGGCTGCTACGGCGCCGCTGCCCCGCCCAACGCCATGAAGCCCGGGTGCTGCCAGACCTGCGACGAGGTGCGCGAGGCTTACGCCCAGGCGTCCTGGGCCTTCGGCCGCGGCGAGAACGTCGAGCAGTGCATGAGGGAGCACTATGCCGAGAGGCTGGATGAGCAGCGCCACGAGGGTTGCCGCATCGAGGGCAGCCTGCGTGTTAACAAGGTCGTTGGGAACTTCCACATCGCCCCCGGCCGCAGCTTCAGCAACGGCAACATGCACGTCCACGACCTCAAGAACTACTGGGACACTCCCGTCCAGGGCGGCCATCGCTTCTCGCACACCATCCACCAGCTGCGCTTCGGACCCCAGCTGCCGGAGCAGATCACCGAGAAACTAGGAACAAAGTCTCAGGCCTGGACCAACCACCACATGAACCCCTTGGATGGTCTCGAGCAGGTCACCGAGGACCCTAACTTCAACTACATGTATTTTGTCAAGATCGTGCCCACATCCTACATTCCCCTCAGCCTGAGCAAGAAGTACCGCGACATGATGACCGATGCGAATGCCGCCCTTGGCCAGTTCGGTCAGAACGACGATGGCAGCATCGAAACCCACCAGTACTCGGTCACGAGCCATAAGCGCAGCCTGTCGGGTGGTGACGACTCTGCCGAGGGCCACGCTGAGCGTCTGCACTCCAAGGGTGGTATTCCAGGTGTCTTCTTCTCATATGTAAGTTTGTCTTGCATTCTTGGACAAGGCTCATGTCGAAAGACGGGAGTAGCAAAAAAAAAAAAACATGCTGACACTGGCCAACAGGACATCTCTCCAATGAAGGTCATTAACCGCGAGGAGCCGGCCAAGTCATTTGCAGGGTTCCTCACTGGGCTGTGCGCTGTTCTTGGTGGCACCCTGACGGTCGCGGCTGCCGTGGACCGGTTTGTCTTTGAGGGCGCGACTAGGTTGAAGAAGCTGAGGTCCAAGGACATGTAGACTTCGTGGGTTTTGAGACCAAGGTGGAGATAAGGAGTCGATGGGGCCATAGGTCGGCTTACGTCCCTCAAGCTTCCTGCCGCCTTTTGTTTTGCTTTTGCATCGGCTATGGCGTTTGGGTTAGGTAGTCGGGAAAATGTCAGGGTCATATTTGAACCTCTTCAAGCTGAGCATCAACAGGAACTGCTTGACAAGCACTATTGTGTGCGGTATTTGGGTGATAAGCCACCGATGACTCCGTGGGCAGATGCTCATGCTTTAGATCAGGGCCACTAGCCGGGCACCCTTTTTTTGGTCTGATGTCGGTAGGTGTCACAAAACCCCAAGCATGTGATTGTTTGATTTCTTGAAGATATCTAGATGTCTCTCATCAATCTAACTTTACTCTCCCCTGCACGTCCATGTGAGTTATATGGTGGAATTCTCTTGACTGCAGCTAACATTTGATTTGGTGGCTGGAGGCTCGAGTGGAAGACAGTGGAATAAGAACACGGCCCCGTTGTCTAGCACAAGAGACAGCTAAGAGGGATCATGTAGAGAATAGTGAAGCTCAACGAGACTTGACGATTCCTCTTATCCACCCTGGCTGCGTCTCTCAATTTATTGTTTGCTACCTGGTTGACTAGGTAGTTAGGCCGATAACAAGCCCGTGGGCTACTTGTGTCGACGATTCTTGTCAACACCGCCGTCAAGACGGTACCCCTTACTTAGCCTTGTCTATACGTCACAAGACTGAGGCCATGGACGTCGATCGTATTTCTACCACAATCATTGCAATCATTGATGCTATATGTTTTTAAATACTAGGTATTAAACGTTTACCACTGTGTAAAGGTGCTATGTATATCTTCGGATCTATCGTATTATAACTATTGTTATCGGCATCGTGTTCTTTCCAAGCGCTGGGTCTTGAGTGCTTACCACCGTATGAAGGCGCCATGTATGTCCTCGGACGTATACGGAATAGAAGCGAAACCACATATCTTCGGATATGCAGAATAGAAGCGAAACTAGATAACAATATAGAGGATACTCAAAGCATAAAAAAATAAACATTCAAATTTACAAAAACTCAAAAGCAAATCTAAAAGGTTTCTAATTTTAGTCAAGTCTATCAGCCCAAACATAATCTAGTGTAGATTTATGCTGGTTCATTTGATACCCCCACTGTTTATACATTCTTCAATCTCCTAGCAATTGAGCCGGAAAATAGGTTCCGAACCCACATGAATACCTATGTCCGTCTATGATCGCAATCATTACTCTTGACAGGAGACGCTGAAGATTCGAGTTTCAGGTGCTTCAAGCAACTCTTCCATAATGCTCAATCCAAAGCTTTGATATTAAGGATTCTGGTAATTGTATTCTGTCGCAGCAGATCCGGAAATTTTGCTCTCAGTTGCCTGGCAGCCTCGGCCGACCCCATGCTAAACTTGCGTTTCCCTTGCAGACCCAGACGGATCCAAATTACAGACCAGGCATGAGACTACCTAGGCATTTCGGACTGTCGAAAATATGTTTATTACACAATATTGGCTCTACCTACTACCTAGCCTTTAGGCAATGGGACATAACTTTTGACACAAGCGGACATGGACAGCTCGACCGAGGTTGCTACTTATGAACGCCCTGTTCCTACCTAGGTATTGGATAAATGGGTGGATGCACTCGAGTCTCATGGATCGTGGACCCTTCAGTTCCTCATCGACAGTCGGATGTATTATGCTCAAGGATAGTGCACTTTCATTCATCGGATCTTGAGAAGTTGGGTTTCAAGAGCCCACGAACCCAAGAGACCCGTACGAGAGCCACGGTCCTTTCTTATACAAGCGCACCACTCGGCACTGGCAACAGTACTGTGACCTCGATACCTCGCGCTGTAGGGCTGATTGATTTATGGGGTGTTTACCGTTTGCAGTTGCACGCTCAATGGCAAGCATCCTTTGAGGACCTTGGTGGTTTAGTGAGCCCAATTGATCTGCCTTGGAAAGGGTCTCGGGCTGGCGACCAGGAGCTTTAGTTGAGCGTCTGTGGGTTATTTTCTCAGATGTGTCATGACGTGGTTGTAAGCTGATATCTGACCATTTGCTGGGGAGAGGCCCGGGCCGCCCATGGACTGAGTGGGACGAGGCTTGCTGGTCACACATCTGCAAAATGCAGGTGCTAGACGCGCCACCCAAGTGCCCAGGTATGTTACCAAACACCAGCCGCGGGGCGTAACACAATGAATAGATGAACGCCGAACAATAAGAAGGCAAAAAAAGAAAAGCCAATTTGATCAATGGGGTTTAAGGAAACCCGGCGGCTATAGTCGCACGGCCTCTGATGTTTGTCTCAGCTAGTGCAGGGAGCTGCTGAAGGTTCACACCCAGCCTGCTGGCGATCCGCTGCCAAGAGAACCGTACCTGGCCTGCTTACTATCGAATATCGGTTCATGGCGTCCTGAATCACATGCGCGCTGTCTGTTACCGGCATCCTCTCCACAGAATATGCATGTTACCTAGGCAATACAATAGCAACATAAAACAGAAGGAAATAACCACCATGCAGGCATTAATTAGCTTTCCCCTCTAGTATCATAGCCCTCGGTTTCTGTTACGAAATGCATACCGCGTCGCGAGCGAAGCAGATGAACATCTGGGCTCAATTCGGATAGTACCTTGATCAGGCCCTACCGCAACCGGGGTCTGCCCCGGAAGAAGGCAGCCAGGAACGCGAAAGACGCGTCCTAGTCCGGGAGTGGCAGGCGAGCCCGTAATTATTATACACGTGCACAGCAGGCATGCCGGCAAGGGAGGGAGGGGGGAGGAGGAGGCTCTGCGCGCGCTCTCACGTGGCCGGGCCCAAGTGGAAGTGGAGCAGACATAACAGAAGAATAACGTACGCTGTGCTCTGCGTGGCCCCTGGTCGTGCCTGTGCCTGGACACGCCGAGGTAACCCAGGCGGATGAGCCAAATTGCGCCCTTGAATCACCGAGACATGGCGAGATGGGAGGCGCCCGGGCCGTTGCAGAAGTACCCCACCGTTCAGCAGCAGCAGCAAGCCAGCGACAGCACGGGGAGAAGAATTGCTGGGGGTCGGGAGAGGGACGGAGGTCCGAGGCCTGGGTTGACTGATGCCCGGCAGTGGCCGGCAGTCGCAGAGACGATGGATGCATGTGTGTCATTGAGAAGCAAAACTTCATCTCGAGGCTGCGACGGTGCAATTTCAGGGACTTTTCGTCACAACAAGACAGGTGCAAGCCAGCCCACCGCGAGCGCACAAAAATGATCCTCGCAAGGCTCGACTGTGAGCGTGGAGTCTCGTGGCCGGGGCCGCACGGTGGCTTGCGCCCTGCCCTTCCTTCCCTTCCCTTCCCTCCCCCTTCTCTTCCTTTGCTGTTTCCGTGATGGGTACGGCCTCATTTCGAGCCTAATTTCCGCGGGGAATGTCGGCCGAGGTGGGGACCACACAGGCTAGACAGCCCTTCCCCACAAGGGGGTCTGGCCGCGGGCCCCATCTCTGGTCTCGCAGGCGTCGAGGCACGAGGAGAGCTCGGGGGATCGTCTTAGGGCAGACGCGTCTTGGAATCGGCGGCGATCGGCAGGCTAATGTCGGTCATCTCAGTGGGAGCCCTGCAAGCCCTGGAGGAGGGTGGAAGCTTCATTAGCTCCGGAGGGAGGACCGCCACGGATAGGTTGCGGACAAGGTGACAGGGTGAGGTGGTATGGCGGGCTTGTGGCCCGGCAGGACCAGCGCCAGGTGACTTGATGGTTTCTGATGGTTTGGGACGACGGGGCGGGCTCAATCAAAGTGACGGAACCAATGCAGACATGACAGCCGTTGTGAAGCTGGAGGGGCCGGGGTTTTTTTTTGCCCGGGATGCAACTCTGAAATCTTGCCCGATCCAGGTTCAAGCCTGGAATGCTCAAGCATGGGCCCGGAAGGTTGACGGTAGGAACCAGCGAGCTGCGAGGGCAGCCTGGCAGCCTGTTGTGCGCCCGCATGCAATTGCACGCTACCTAGGCACCTGGGGCAGCTAGGTAGCCATGTGCCTGGCAGTACCTATCTACCTACCTAGGTAGGTAGGTAGGTAGGTAGGTAGGCAGCCAGCCCTGACGACCTCGTATTGGACCAAGACCATCTGCAGCAGACCAGATGCTGTGGACCTGGACCTGCGTGTCCGGCAATCTACTCGCCTCCAGCCCTCCCATTGCGGCCAATGCAGCCAGCCAGCCAGGCCCAGTGCAACGACAGACCCGACGAGCCGGGCGAGAGCGGTCGACATCTGGAACGCAAGGCTGGCTGCGTCTGCCATGACTACATGGGCTGTGGTACGCTACACTATACCGCTATGGTAGAGGGATCTCCCATCGCCCTCGATTGGCAGCTGATCCATCCCCCGTGGATCGCCGGGGACATGCGAGCAGGCGAGCAGGAGAGCAGCAAGCAGCACATCTGGAGCTGGAGCTGGAGCTGGAGCAGAGAAACCTCGTATTACGTCGTCCAAGGCGACTGAGCCTCACAGCACAGCAGGTCTAGAGTTGCCTGTGGGATCTTTTTCTTGTCTTGTCCGCCCCCAAGCCCCTCATGGACGCCTTCCCACCTGCATGCAAGATGAGGGAGGGGTCGGTAGTGCAGGTAGACTGGTGGTTTTGCTGGTACGCAGTCAGCAGCCATCAGGGCAGTTCGACAATAACAAACAACGACAGGCCTCCCGTCTCCTATAAGGCCTCTCGGCCTTGCCTTAAGACAATAGCTGAGTTGGGAGATGCTGTGTGTAAGTTGCCACGATCGCCGGATGGTCGAGTAAGATGGCTGAATGAGCGCCTGGCCGGCCGGCTGGCTGGATTGATCGATGGATGAAGGCGTCCTTGGAAGGCTGCAGGAAAGGGGGGGGTGCTCGAAAAAAAAAACCCAGGCAGCCCGGGGTTCATCCGTCTGTTCCCAACCACGCCTCTCTGATCCTTGCGACCTGGCTCTAGCGAGGTGGGCTGCAAGTGGGCTGTTCCAATTAAAGCCTGCCACCCCTGCATGGACGGCCTTAGCGGTGCTACCCATGCCTGCCATGTTCCCCTTGTACCCGCGTACATGCTCAGGTACTCAGGTACCGCAGTGCCCAGGTGGGTGGGTGCCCCACTGCCAGGGCACCTATGGCTGTTTTTGTCTGGCTGGCCGTTCGCAGGGTCGGTAGGGTCTCTCACTCATGCCAATTCTCTGGACCAAGCGATGGGTACCAATTCAATTGACCTCGTCGTGCCTGTCTCCTGAAGTTTCCATGGTTTCCTCCTTCTTGATGATCTTCCTCCACGACAACCACCACCGCCCTTTCCTTTTCCCTGTTGGTGTTGCTCCCTGGTAGGCGTCCCTCGTCCGTCTCTCCAGTCGTTGTCGGGAACAAGTGCAGCCGTGCAGTGCAAGTCAGGAGTCATCTGGAAGGAGGCGATCGACGATCGCATTGACTGGGCTTGACTTTTTGCTGCGGTGGTGTCCACGGGTCACCTCATCGCCAAGCAACTCCCCCCGTGGCCTGCCTGCTTGTTCGCGCCTCCTCAGAGGCCCCGAGGCCCCAGGCCAGGCGGACGGCCGGACAGCAGACAGACAGACAGACACGAGAGAGAGGAAGAGGGGACCAGAAACAAGACGCTCGTTCCCACCCCGCCTCAACTTTTACCTACTCCTCCACACCTGCCCTCGCGCTCGTTGTTTGAAGGGTTTCCAATTGTTTCGGTCTTGTGGACCAACGGGGTTTCCAACGGCCTTCCCAACCTCATTGAGTGACGGCTGCAAGCAGCTCTGGCGAACTCGTGACCTGGCCAGCCAGCCCAGCCCGAGGGTCCTCCACTACTGTCGCCGTCCAGGATCCCAAGCAGGACACCGTCAAAAGGGGTCCCACGCCAACACTGCACCCGCCCCCCCCCCAACTGGATTCACCACCTCACGATCTTTCTACGCGTCTTCCCATCGCCGACAGCTTTTCTGGCGCGCAGTTTCGAAGGATTCGGCCCAAGCGACGGATCGCCCATCGGGCCTGACAAACATAGCATCCTTCCTTCCTCACTCAAGCTTCTTTGCCCCCCGCGCCTTTACCGCTTTCAGGGGTTGTGTACATTTTGTTCGTGCGCCGCTGCTCCATAGACCGAGCTCGACATCCCAGAGCCAATTGCACGCCCTGTCCGCGCCTGGCCAGGTGCTACCCTATCGCCTCTAATTGACGTAGGGCATACAGCCATCGCGCTCACCCCGACTTTTCTTCCTTTCTCTCATCAGAGGGCGACCTTTGCGACCCCTCCGATCCTGTGTCATATCTGGAGGTGGAACGCCACAGCCGAAGGGGCGCCTCTTTCGCTCATTCCTCGAAAAGAGAGCACCACTCTCCGACGTCATACCTCGTCGCGCACCGCTCTCGAGCCCGACGCGACAATTTCCACACCCTTCTTGGAACCTGAGCTGCACCAGGCCCAATGACATGAGCAGTTCGCCATGTCGACCCCAACGAGACCCGATTTCATCGAAATACGCTCTGAGTCGCAAGCTTCTATCCCCCGCCCGCTCAGATCCCCGCGCCTCCATGTTGCCGGGGAGCACCCCCCCGAGCTCTCGCCCCTTGATGCCTTCGCCCTGCAGAGCCGGCTGCTGGCCAAGCAGTTGGAGGAGAGCGCCAAAGCCGGTAGGAGGATGAGCCGCCTGCCCCCATTGACGACCGAGAGTCCTCTCATCGTCCAAGGGAGGTCCGAGTACTTCCGGTCGATGTCGGCTGAGTCTGGTTCTGATGCCGGCGGCGACGGTCCTCAACAACACTCTGCCGGTGCCGCGATGAAGGCAGAATTGGCAGAGTCGCCAGAACGACCACAGTCCATGCATCCACGGATGAGCCAGATCCCACCCACCCCGGACACATCAATCCCCATACCCACACCAAACTCCTTTGAGCAGCTACGGGGCAGGCCATTGGGCGAACATGATGACAAGACCAGCTACTTTGGAGCCAGGAGGGAACACTCGCCCTCGTCTTTCGACAGTGCTAGCATCGATGCACGCGCCGTCGAGCAGTTGGAGTCCTCACAAGGAGACCTGCTGGCTGACCCATCAGCGACCCCAAACCAGATCTTGTCGTCGCCGCGCAGGCTGGAACACAAGACCTCGCGCGAGTCTCTCGCTCCCCCAAGGTCTACCTTCCCAGCCAGGACTTCCAGCATCAAGTCACAGACGACTGAAGACGGGTTTGATGATGATGTGCTTGGCTCCTCCTTCCATTCTAACAGATCACGCAAGCTCTCCTCGAGCAGCGCCGGCGTCTTCTCCCCGCACCACCAACAGCGATCCCCATCGACTAGTTCGAACATATCCGAACTACCGCGTCCGGCGTTCAACTTCTCGAGGCCAATGAGCCGATCAGGAACACCTGGATTGGACACGCCATCACGTTTAGACGCGCCCGCGCGGCAACCATCCTCTGACAGCCATTCGTCTTTCTTCCTGGCGGACGATGCGAGCAACACCCCGGTCAGCATGAACAGCGAGGGGTTCCCGGATATTTTGGAGGACGGGAAATCAGGGCCAAACACGTACATCTACTCAAAGTTCAACCTTCCCCGGGGAAAGATGATGCAACGGTCCAATTCCAAAGACCGATTACCGGCCTCGGGAACTTTCCAATGGCAACAGCCCGCTGCCGTCCAGGGCGACGACAATGCAACGCCTCCCGTCGGGCAGGCGCCGCCATCCCCGCCGACCAGGCCATCCAGCTCTGCAAGTCGGGAGCTGCGGAGACCCTCGGGTGAAACGAGCCTGGATGTACCACGTCCCACAACGCAGCCTTCACCAAGTGAAAATCGCCCGTCTACTAGCGGCGGGCGTGCCTCCGAGGACGCACAAAGGGGCCGCAGCCCAAAAAGACTTGGGACCGCGACGACCGCGACAACCGCGACGATCAGTGACGCCAGCACGATCAAGGCTCGTTCCCAGCACTCAGTCGCAAATACGATGGCAGATACCCCGGCGGAAGAGCATGTAAGCAAGGCCATTGCCCTCCACGAAGAAGGCAAGGTCAACGAATCAACCTACCACCTTCGCTACGCAGCCAAGCAAGGTGACCCCGTGGGAATGCTGCTATTCGCACTGGCTTGCAGACACGGCTGGGGTATGCGGCCCAACCAGGCCGAAGCCGTGGTTTGGCTCCGAAAGGCTGCCGACTGCGCGGGTATCGAGATTGCAGAAGATGAGAACAACGCAAAGGAGGGGCAGCACGTGGACGTAGCCGGGCGCAAGACGCGTAAAGCGCAGCTGGCCCTAAGCATCTACGAGCTCGGTGTGAGCCACATGAACGGGTGGGGCATCGAGCAAGATAAAGCTCTTGCCTTGCGCTGCTTTGAGATCGCCGGAAGTAGGTGTCTCCCTCCCCCGGTCCCTAAACCCACGCCGCCAGCAAGGTTACTGACTGAGTCTCGAACAGGCTGGGGCGATGTTGATGCTCTTGCGGAGGCGGGTTTCTGCTATGCCAAAGGCATTGGCTGCAAGAAAAACCTCAAGAAGGCGGCCAAGCTGTACCGTGCGGCCGAGGCCAAGGGCATGAGCATGGTTGGCAACAGCTGGTGAGTACACGCGCCTGACGAAGCATGAATGATATCCACCTGAAGCTAACTGCGAGCCCAGGATCCACAAGCCCAAGTACAACGAGGATGACGAGGAGGACAACGACGATGCGAGGAGCACCAAGTCGCGATCCAAGTCCAAGTCTCGATTCTTTGGCAAGGTTCGGTCACACACCACCACTGGCGCACCATAAGCCCTTGGCTGCTGCTGAAACCTGATCACAACCAGTTTCTTTTTCATGATGATGACCATATTTCCTTTCTACCTCTCATATAGGAGTTATCTTCTACTTTGACCCCGGGGAGGGGCAATGGCAGACCTGCTTACGAGCATTAACGAATTCCTTGCTCTTGGCATTTTGCGTTCGATGGGATCACCTGGTGGCAAAACAAACCCAATTTCAGATACCGCAAGGGCATAGCGGGGCCTGCCTTTTTACATTCAATTTTCCTTTTTGTTTTGTTATCATCTCGCTGGCCCTCTAGTGGTGTTCCCCGGTTCTGGGAGGAGAGGAATACGCCAAAAGACCTTAGTTTTACCTTCCGTGTGGGCATTTTCTTCTTCTTGGGACGAATGTCCCCCGAGACATGGGATCCATGGCATATTGTACAAAGATCTTGGGTGTTTTCAAGATACCGATGGAGAAGGAAAGGGACGAAGAGAGAAAAGGAACTCGCAGGAGAAGATTGACCCCAGGGTGTTTACCACTGTATATAAGGATAACATTTTGACATATTGCCCATCGATGGTAGCCGAGGACGGCTGACACTGGGAGAGGGCTTTCTGGAAGCTTTGAAAGCGATTTAATTTTGGCCTGCGACTCAGCTGGCCCAAACCCAAATTTTTTCTCCCTCTCCGTATCTTGCACTTGTGCGGTGTCGACATCGACATGTAAAATGAGATGTGAAAAGGGGAATGTACAGCAACTTGGAGATGCATGTAATGCTGCGGCTTATGGGGACGGTCCTCGTGAAGGACCCGCGGCTCGGCAGGGATGGCTCTTTGCGACTGCCACGACTTCTCTGGGGCTCAGCATGAGCGTCACGCCAGGCGAGGGCCTGGGGCCGGGGTGGGCGCTGCCATGTCTCACCACAGCATGTGAAAGTGGAGTCCCAGCAACAGGAGCAGCTCACACAAAAACGTCATTCCTACTGAAGTAGGTAGGTACCTAGGTAGTACGTACTCCGTCCGCGCTGTTGGGCCGAGTGCCCGCCCCTCGCTTATGGGCCTTTTGGAAAGCCCGGAATCTTCTGACGATCGCAACTGATCATTCTCATTCGCATTCCTATTTCCCAGCTCCCAGCTCCCATCTCCCATCCTCAGTCTCGCTCTCTCTTCTTTTCTCACATTCCACGTTGCCTCACTCTTCCTTGAGCTTGACCGCCCCCACCCCCCACTGCTCATCGTGTTAATACACATGAACGCCGTCAATTCGCCTAACACAACCAAACAGAAGATTGTGACCCTAGCTCTGGAGGTCTGCCCAGCCACTTCACAGCTGTGGCACACCTGCCGTCTCGCACCATTGACCGAAGTGTACCCGGTCGCTGTCTTCCGCGAGGATCCCAGAACAAGAAGCCTGAGGCAATAAAGGAGGAGAGGCACTTATCATGGCTCCCTCAAACGATGCAGGTGAGACTTCAGCAGCAACATTCGTGACGTCCGCACCGGCGGATCCGGAGCCCGGCCCACCGCGCCTCGAGCCTGAGATGAACGATTCCATATACACCAGCGCCAGCAGCAGCAGTCCGCCTGCGCATCCGGCCTTCTTCATGCCTTCTCCAGGGCTCGTTGATCCAAGAGGAGCCGGGACCCCATCACCGGGCAAGGAGAATGTCTGCCCATCCCCCATGGCAGCCGCATACTCCCCGCTTGGCTCCCCGCTGGCCATGCATCTGGCCGGGAAGAAGTCGCCGCAGAGGCCTACTGCTAATGCTGGAGCTGTACTGAACAAGTTCATCCATGAATGCACGAGCCGGTCCCCCCGGGGCGGAGCACACAGACGAGGTCTAGGAGATATTGACACGAGTAACACAGCACCACAGCCGGCAAACGACGTGGCCCCGGCCGCTGATTCGAACTCGAGCAAGAAGAGCAAGCGAAAGTCCAAGAAGACGAACGGTGTGAAGGAGAAGAGCAAGGCGAATGCCGATGACCAACCACCCTCGCGGCCCGCATCTTATGCTGAGGCCGTCAAGGAGGACCCAGGCGACGCCACAAACGGAGGACATGACCAAGACGGCAATGGAAATGACCCGCACCAAGAGACTAACGGGAGGCAGGCGGCAGCAGATGAATCGGGTGCCGATACGAGCGCATCAGAGTCCAAAGGCGTCGACGAGAAAAATGGCGACAATAAAGACACGCAGCCTACAGCAGCCGGCAGCTTGACATTCGCAGAAGCAGTCAAGGAGGGTTCAAGCGATGCGACTATGACGAATGGCGAGGCTGCAGACCTCGCTACTACAAAGCCCAGGAGCGTTGAGGGGCGTAGCGCATCTGCCACCCTAAGCCAGAGTTCTACCGCGGTCGACTACCCCGACATTCCTTCGGACGCAGAAGATCGCGGGGAGGAGGCGGAGCGGCTGCGGGATCAAGAGAAGGCACCGGAAGTCGCTGGGCTCCGCTGGGCTCCGCTCAGGGTGCCGTTCAGACGGCGTCTGCAGACCCTGGCAGTGCTATTCCATTGTCTGTGCATCGGGGCCACGCTTTCCATCTTCTTTGGATTCTGTGCAATACCCTTGCTATGGCCTCTACGTAAGTTCTCTCGTTTCCCGAGTCACTCGGTCATTGCCGTGCCGTCGTCTCACAACTGCCCTAGTTATAATATACCTGGTCTCGATCCTGTTCTCGACAGATGCCGTCGACGGCAAGCTCAGGAGGCGAAAGGAGTGGGTCCGCAGGCTGCCCATCTGGAGGTACTTTGCCGAGTACTATCCAGCCAAGCTTCACAAGACGCACGACCTCGTCCCGACGCGCAAGTACATCTTTGGGTATCACCCGCACGGTATCATCTCACACGGTGCGTGGGCGGCGTTCGCGACGGATGCCCTGGGTTTCTCGGAGAAGTTCCCGGGCATCACCAACAGCCTGCTGACACTCGACTCCAACTTCCGGCTGCCGCTGTACCGCGAGTACGTCTTCTCGATGGGGGTTCTGTCGGTCAGCAAGGAGTCCATCACCAACATCCTGACGCGCGGTGGCCGCAACGGCGAGGGCATGGGCCGGGCGGTGACGATCGTGGTGGGCGGGGCGCGCGAGTCCCTCGAGGCGCAACCGCGCACGACACGGCTCATCATCAACGAGCGCAAGGGGTTCGTCAAGCTGGCGATCCGGACGGGGGCGGACCTCGTGCCGGTGATGGCGTTCGGCGAGAACGACCTCTACGACCAGCTGGACCCGCACAAGCACCCGTGGCTCCACGGCCTGCAGCGCCACGTGCTGCGGGTGTGGAAGTTCACGGTGCCGCTGCTGCACGGGCGGGGCATCTTCAACTACGACGTCGGCATGATGCCGTACCGGCGGCCGCTTAACATCGTCGTCGGGCGGCCCATCAAGGTTGTCCAGGCCGACAACCCGGACAATGCCGAAGTCGACCGGCTACACGACCTGTATGTCGAGGAGCTGAGGGCCGTCTGGGATCGGTACAAGGACGAGTTCGCCAGGGATCGCATCGAGGAGATGGAATTTCTGAGTTGAAGATAGGATGGGAAAGAGATGTATTTCTACCGTGATTCCTGTTGCATAATTTACCGAGGGCGGATGGAAGGGGTCCTGACCTGGAAAATACAGCTTTTATAAGGGAAAATTGGAGTGTTGTTACCCTACCTGGGGCGTGCTTTGCTCAACTTGATTGCGAGAGCCCCTGTGTTTTTGTTTTTCTTTGTGTTGTTTTATGGGAGCAATTGGCGGGGGTGGTGGGTGGGGCGGAATGCTGCCCTGGTTGCTATTTTAAATGTATAGCATGTGTAGCTAAGGCCTCTAACATGTGGCATGTGTCTCAAGCCTGCGGGGCCGTCAGAGCACAGATTCCAATTGCAGAGTGGTGATGCGGGATTCTGCTCGGATCTGCTGCATATATCTTCGGGGATGGGCCTCCCGATGAGGCAATCGGGGAGGCTCGTTGTCGTTGTTGTCCATCTGAAGTGCTGTGTGGGCTCCAGAGTGATAAGCTGTGTGTGGTTTGGGGCTGCTTGAAACGTCCGCCGTGTGGCTACGCGGGATGCTCGGATGGCGGGCCAGCGAGGTCCGTTTCGGTGGACGAGGCAGACGAGACAGACGGAGAGTCTTGGCACTTGGACGTCATTGTTCAGGTACCTGCCTACTCCGTACTTGAGTACCTAGGTCTCTAGGTCTCAGGGCTAGCTCTTGCTGGGCCGTGCTGGAGAAACCACCGGTATATCATGCGCATGACGCAAGAGGCGCCTGTGATTCTGCGAACCGCCGTTCTGAATGAGCGTTAGAACCGCAGAGCCGGGCCCTTGGGCGTGTCCCCGAGACCGCTCTACCCGTGCTCCCCGACCGACACTTTACACTTTGGGCTTGGTTTTGGCCGGGGTCCCGCTGCGTCGGAAGATCGACAGGCACAGGGCAGGGCACGAGCCGGCCAAGGTCGCTTGTCGCTGTTTCTTCGGTCTGCGCACCCACCGCCTGCGCCGTTCCCACTCGTCCCATCTCAAACCTCCCAAAACACTTGCCATCATCTCATACACTTTTGCTTGGTCCCCTGCGCCTCTCTGAGATGCCTGGACACTGCAGTGCTACCACGCCCTTGCTCGTATAAGTCCTTTTTGCCCTGCTTTTCCCCCGCCAGTCTTGCTTCTCCCCCCCTCCAAGACGAAGCCTCCGACCGAAATCGACCAGACGGACCGACGGACGGACCGATCGACCATGGAATGAGAGCTGATGGGGGCCCGTGTGTGACGAGACGCGCTGCCAGAACCCCCCCGCCTGTCTAGATGACAGCTGCTGCACCAAAGGCCGGATCCTCTGTGGACTCGGACTTGGACCAGGCTCACCCCCATCCCGAGCCGTGGCCGCTGCCCGGGCCCGGGCCTGGTCCGCGGGCCGGCGGCATCGACGGCGGCGACCATGCCTCCGGGCTGGGAGGGCACCAGGGCAAGCGGCCGTGGTGGAGGAGGCCCGTTGCGATATGGTCCTTCGTCGCCGCCGCCGTGCTGCTGGTCGCCTTGGTCGTGCTCCTGGTCCTCGGGCTGCGGGGATACCTCAAGGTAGGCTCCTTTTCTACTCGGAACGACACCCAACAGGCTTCGTCAGGCTCAGAACAACAACGCCCAAACCCTCTTTCTACTGTTCCTCTTCTTTCTGAGCCCACCTTCACTTATCTTGCTCCTGCTCCCCCGCCCGTGACCCTCACTCCCACCCCCGCCGCTGCCACCCCAGCTGCTGCCACTCCCGTCCCGACCAATCTTGGGACGCTCAACATTGTAAGATCTGCTGTGACATGCCGGCGCCGGCCCCTTGTGGCCCTCAAAGTTGTCTCTGCAACTTGCACTGCTGCTATTCTTCTCTCTCCCTCCCGCGCAGCAGCTTGCTAACATCACTCCCAGCCGGGCCAGGACCCGCAGGTCAATCTGGGCTATGCCACCTATGTCGGTACGGCCCTCGACGGGGGCATCAACCGGTTCCTTGGGATGCGTTATGCGGCACCACCGGTGGGAAACCTGAGGTGGAGGGCACCATTGGCTCCTCCAACCGCGACCTCGCCCCAGTCGGCCAAGGCATTTGGGCCCATCTGCCTGGGCATCTCTGTTGCATATCCCATCAGCTTCGAGGACGAGGACTGCCTCTACGTCAACGTCTGGGCTCCCCAGAACGCCAACACCACGTCCAATCTGCCCGTCTGGCTCTTCATCCAGGGCGGCGGCTACGTCTCCAACTCCAATGCGAACTGGGACGGCGAGGAGGTTGTGCGCCAGTCCGGCAACAAGATCATCTTTGTCAACTTCAACTACCGCGTGTCCATGTGGGGTTTCCTGGCCAGCTCCAAGGTCCAGGCCAACGGCAATCTCAACGCCGGCCTGCTCGACCAGCGCTTCGTCATGGAGTGGGTCAAGTCCAACATAGCCAGTTTCGGCGGTGACCCGGCCAACGTCGTCATCCACGGAGCCTCGGCCGGGGCTGGATCCGTTGCGCTACACCTCATGGCATATGGCGGCCGCAACGATAACCTCTTCACCGCGGGCATCGCCGAGTCTGTCTTCTTCCCCGCCCAGCCCTTCGTACCCCAGCTCGAGTACCAGTTCGACCGCCTGGTCAACGCCACCAACTGCGCGGCCCAGCCGGACCAGCTGGCGTGCCTCCGGGCCCTCGACACCAAGACGCTCCAGGCCCAGAACGTCCCCTCCATCTTCCCCGGGCGCACCGAGCCGCCGCTTCCGCTCTTCTACTGGACACCGTGCATCGACGGCGACTTCCTCGAGGACCTGCCGTACAACATGCTCGCACAGGGCAAGTTCGTCGATGTGCCGCTGCTGTTCGGCAACGACAACGACGAGGGCAGCTACTTCGCCACCAACGCTGCCACCCCCGAGGACATGGCCGAGTTCTTCCAGAACAACTACCCGCTGCTCACCGGCGACGACGCCGCCGCCATCCAGCGCCTCTACCCGCTCATGCCCGCCCTGCCCCAGCACAACGCATGGTTCCCCAGCAACAGCATGGCCTACGGCGAGGCCACCTTCATCTGCCCGGCCATCAACCTCTTCTCCGCCTACACCCAGGCCTCGCCCGGCGGCAGCGCGGCCTCCTCGATGTGGCTGTACCGCTACAACGTGATTGACAACGACAACGTGGCCGCGGGCGTCGGCGTCCCACACCTGTGGGAGTCCTACGCCGTCTTCGGCCCCACCAACCTGGCCTCCAACAACGTCCCCGAGAGCTACCTGACCTACAACGCCCCGATCGTCCCCGTCGTAATGGACTACTTCCTCTCCTTCGTCCAGACCCGCGACCCCAACCCGCTGAGGGCCCCCGGGGCCCCCGTCTGGGAGAGCTGGGGCGCCCCGCTGCGCCCAGGCGGCGGCAATGGCTCCAGGATCGTGCTCGAGACCAACAACGTCCGCATGGAGCCCGTCGAGGCTGACCAGGCCGCACGGTGTCAGTTCTGGGCGGGCCTGGCGCCGAAGACGCAGCAAAAGATGAAGAGGGGTGCGGCCGGGGATCTTCCGTTGTTTTAGGCTCAAGACAATAGAAAGACCTACAAGAAAGGTTTTATACTAATAATGGTTACTGATGTGATGTTGATATAGGAATGGGTCAGAATCGCGAATATAACAGCGCCGAGAGAATATACATCAGAGAACTGTTGCATGAGTGGAGGAATGAACGAGGCATGTAAAAAATGATGTTACTTAGACCATAGATAATGAGCTTTGCATAGCGCGCGGTTGGGTATCAATATACTAGACAACTTGTTCATAATCAGATACATGCTTCTAAGCTTGTTTTTCCCTCGCCTCGGAATGATGGAAGCCCGCCCCCAAACTTCTCAATGCTCTTGCGTCACAACATAATCGACGAGCTCACACCACCGGACCACCGTGGGAGTAAGCGCTTTCGGTCCTTGTTTGCTGTGCAATCTCCACCCAACCACTTTGACGTAATAGGCAAGCTCACCCATCCCATCAACTCTTTTCAAGCCCCTTGTCTCTCATCCACTCACCGGCCCCAACAAAGTCCTATACATTGCCACCAGCGCGAACCGAGTCCCACCGCCGGGCCCACCATAGAGAGACGCGCACGGTATAGCAGCCAGCCCCAGGTCTCTCACCACGGCCCCGACCTGCCCGGGCTCGAAGACCTCGCAGTTGACATACACGAGGTAGGGCAAAGGGTTCTGAGCCCCCGCTTGTGACGGACCCGTCCCGGACCCCCCGGGCCCGACGCACGGAGCACACCCGAAGCGACCCGCATAGCCCAGAGCCATGAGCTTGCCGGCCTCGTCGATCTGTGCCTCCAGTGCCGAGGCGGCCGCTGCCTGTGGCTGTGCCGCGCCGTCGTCATGCGGGAGCTCGATGGCCGCTGCGCTGTGCAGGCACGCGTGCGCCTCCGCGCCCTCCCCGAGCACGACGGCCGAGTGGCTGATGCGGCACCTGCCGCCGCCCGCGGTGTCAGACTTCTCGTCGTCGCAGACGTGGAAGCGGCCCGCAGCCCCTTCTTCCCAGGGAATGTTGATGAGACCGGCGTGAGCGTGCCACTCGGCCTCCGCGGAGCGGGGGAGCTCGTCGACTTCGGCGGCGAGGAAGAAGGGCACAGGCCTCTTCCTCGTCGGCCGGTCGTCGTCATCGTCATCTCCAGCAGTGGTATCAGCATAATATGGCAGGCTGGCCTTCTTGGCCTTGTCCTCCTCGCCGCTGCCGTACAAGAGATACTTGGCGTTGAACCTCCTGTCCCACAGGTCCGGCCCAGAGGCCTCGTCGACGAGCCGAGGCGACACCCACTTGTGCGCCGCCCTCCACGCCCTCCACGCGAGCATCGCCTTGTCCCGCGCAGGGAGGTCGTGCTTGGACTTGCTGGCGCGGGGGAAGTACACCGCCGCGCTGGTCCACCACTGCACGCTCATCTCGACGCCGATGCGCCAGAGGTGCTGCAGGGAGAGCACCAGCTGCATCTCCAGCCCGCCTTCCGCCGGCAGTTCCATGGTCGCCGGCACGAGCGGGATCTGGCCTGCGATATGGGCCACACGAGGCTCGTTGGCGCGGTCTTCCTTTGGAGCCATCTGTACGGTGATGGCCTGGCTGTAAGGGCCGATGTTGGCGGGCGCCCAGTATGACCTGGACTGCACGTGCAAGCCTTGCCTGTCGACCGCGCTTGAGCTGTCCGGCACGGTCAGGTAGATGGCGAGTTTCGCGTCCTGGGGCAGGATATTGCCACACGCGATAGTGACGCGAGAGGGCGGGTTGGGGTCGGTGAAAAGAGAGCCATAGATTTTGTTAATGGTCTGGAAGTCAGACATTGACCGCAGGATGATGATGCTTGAGATGATATCCCCCGGCACGAGTTGCTGCCGCTCGAGGCGAGCGCGAATTGTGTCCAGCAGGTTGTTGGTGTCTGCCTCTATTGAGAGTTCGCAATGTTTGGGGTGACCGATGAATGCCCAAGTCTGTAGAGTGGGCTTCATGCTCAAGGAAGCGGCTGGCCCTTCAGCCTCCTCGGCTACATCCGTCTCACCAGCGGACCCTATATTCTCGAGCGTCGCCAGGAACCTGTCTTCAAGAAGCCCAGGCTTCCTGATGACCAGAGACTCCTCATCTGCCTCGTTGATCACCTTCTCAACGACCTTGGGCATCTGAATCTTCAGCCATGCGGTGTCCCCCCCTTCGGGAACAATCACCTTGTCGTCCTCGCCTACAGCAATCCTCTTCTTGAACAGCCGGCTCGGCCCGTCAACGACGAGGGTCTCAAACTCACCGCCCTCGCCCAGGACGGCGCCGTCGCCACCAAACCTTGACGCGGCCACCTTGAGCCTCGTCGCGCCCTTGGCGCTGGCCACGTTCTCCCATAGGAAGCTCTCGTTGAGCGCCCCCGAAGCCACCTTGATGATGCGCGCATCCAGGCCGGCCGAGCCCATGTCATACAGTAGCTGGGCCTCATCCTCGCCCCTGCCCGCTGCGGTTGACGGCTGGGCAGGGAGCGCGGGGTACTTCCACAGATACGCCAGGGGCGTGAGGCCCAGGCGAGTGGCCACGGACTCGACCCGGGTGCGCTGGTAGGTGCTGAGGATGGCGCCGGCGCTGACGGCGTTGGCCTCTGGGTGGGCTGCCTTGATCCTCTCCAGCAGCTGCAGCATGGATTCCACCTCATCATCTGTGGACATGGCGGCAGCCGAGTAGTCCCTCCCGCTCTGGACGGCGCCGCCGACGATGGGCTGCCGGTACAGAGGGATCCCAGTGGCAGTGGAGTAGAGCGGGATGACTTGGTGCCCGACAGTCTGATACATGAACGAGTTCAAGTCCGCCTCCTCGTCACCATCGACGATTGGGCCATCTTGCTGAGGCTGGTCCCTATCGAGGTCCAGCTGTGCTAGGCCCGAGTCTGGAACATCCCTTGCAGCATCATCGGTAGGCTGGTGGGCTCCGTGAGGACTGCCGCCGGGCGGCTGTGCGCTGGACCAACAGCCAGAGCCAGAGCCCGACCTGTCTCTGGTGGCTTTTGACGAAGACGCCGGCGGCGGCGGCGGTGGCGGTGGCGGGTGCAAGTTCGCCAGAGCAACCACGCGATGGCCGTTCTCCAGACAGTGCAGGGCCGAGAAGAAGCTATCCTTGCCACCAGATATCAGAGCGATGACATTAAGGCCGCCGTCAGTCTGAGGCGTCGGCGCCATGGCGATCTGACAGCCCGCTCAGGCGCTATGGCGGATCAATGACTGCCAGGGTGGAATGAGAAACCCCCCTCCGGGATGGTGGGACGTCCGTGTGGCTCTTCCCACGCGCTCGAATCGTAATGCCTTCCTTAGCGGAGTCGTTCAGGCTGGCAGACTCCCCCGACAGGTTGCAGAGAAGGGGAGGGGGGAGAGACAAGAATATGAGCCCCACAGCAGGGACGGGACCGGGTGTGTTTGTTGGTGACGCAGCCCTCAGCCTCGCTGCAGACGGCGGGCACTGTGGTACCCAGTATGTCAGGTCCCGACTAGGACGGTGGTACTCGGGATCGATTCGTGTCGTATAGTGGCATGTCGTGGCACGCACGGGCACGCAAGGCAACGGTGACAGACAGGTGGGTAGGTCCGTCAGGCCAGTGCGATGATATCCGGGTGGTCAATTTCTTCAGGCCATTGACGATCGCTCTCTAAAATAGTATCGGAGGGCTGTCTGAGGTTGATGCCGCCTGAGGCCGGACGACTCAAGAGAGTGCGCCGAGGTCGAGTCAGGCCTCGTTGGGTTGCGGCAATTGCAGCTCAGGCTGGCTTGGCATCGATCCGGGTCCGCAAATCTCGTTCCCCGTGGGTGAGGTCTTCCTTGACAGCCTTGTCCCCGCGACTGTCAAAAGTTTTTGAGGGACTTCGCGGTCGATGGGTCGATAGGTCGGTGGTGAGTGAGGTGTGGGCGGTCAAGGGTTGGACCCTGAGCAACGGACCTGGAGCAGCGGACCGGGGGGGCGGGGCAGGGTCGATCGTTGACGTGCAGCCGCACATGGTGCCTTGGTCGCTCGGCCCAGCTCATGACACTAAAGGGCCAGGAACACAATCAGTGCGCAGTAGATAGAACTGGTAGACTAGCAAGATCGGCGCGGTCCGAGCAGCAAGTGCCTGTCCGTCCTGGACACTACCTAGGCAACTAGGCACCGTGATCACAAGAAACAAGAGCGTGCCTAGTATCACACCGACTTGAGCTTTCCACGGCCTATCAGGCCGCCATAAACCGGACAAGACTGCCCAGGAGAGCTAGATAGTCTCAAAACGGTGTCACCGTTGGAAATTCTGACGTCTCTTTCTATCACTTGAGATCGGCGAACGGCCAGAATAAGAAAAAAGAAAGGGAAAAAAAGAAAGGAAGACACAACACGCAAGGACTAAACCAAAAAACCCAAGTGGCGGGTGGTTGACGCCCAGCCAGCTAGCCCAAACAGTCGCCGCCGCCACCACCACTCACGACCACCGACTGCCATAGCTGGTATAGGCAGATGGCCAGGTAGGCAAATGTAGGGCTATGTACTCCTAGGCAAGAGGTACATCGGGGCCCCAAGAGGACAGAACAGGTAGATCCACACGAGATCTGACAGGCAGAGACATGACAAGACCAGACCAGACAAGACAAGACAGACGGCCGCCTGTCGCTGCGCTCACTCTGCTCCGATGATTCGAGAGCGCGATGGAACACACGATGGGCCGAGGGGCCGCGCAACCACCATCCCTCGCACGGGATTCGGCCGGTTCTCAGCGCACCCGGACGCCCACCTGTCTTGTCTCGTGGCACCTAGCCCTATGGGGTCCGCGTCCACCCACAAAGAGGAGGGGAAGGAGGAGGTGAGAGGGGCGGCGGCGACGACGACGAGCACGAGGGACACATGGTCTCTCGCCCGATCCCTCACCCCCCCTCCATCTCTTGGCGTCTTATCGCCTTCCTTCCTGTCTGCCTGTCTGCCTGTCTGTCAGGACGCACAGGCACGCCCACTTTACCCCTCCTCTGTTGGTCCATCGCTCCTTGCCCATGTCTGGGCACGTTCTGGACTAGCCTGGCCATTCACGTGAGGTGTCATGGGGAGGGGAAGGATCTGAGAGTGGGTTGGGGGCCGGAGAGGTAGGCACAGCTCGCGTCAGATGTCGAGATGCACAACATGGTGTCATTTCCGGCAGGATCTCAGGGGCGGGGCAGGGAGCAGCAGGAGGAGGAGCAGGAGGAGGGAGGGGTGGACAGCGGGAACGCCCTCTGTCCATTTTCCCTTTTCGCTTCCCCCACTCGGGTTGAAGAAAAAAAAAGTGCAGAAAAGGTTTATGGGGAGGGGCAGTTCCTCGCATGCAGTCAGCTGAGAGGATGCAGGAACGGGCCTTGGGTGCTGAGAGGGCGGGGGCCAAATTCGGTTGGTTCGGGAGAGGCTTTTGGCCCAGGTGTGTGTGGGTGGTTGGAATCATGTAAGCCGTAGATTTTTTGGATATCGTGATGTGACCACCACCGCCGAGCGTGCCTGGCAAACCAGCCAATGACCTCGGCAGGTTCCACGTCGCATCGCATGCTTATACCAGTTGCACTGCATCATCGAATTCTGACCACCCGCGCAGCAATAAGTCCGATCTCAGACTTTTTTTTTTTGTGCTGTCTCACGTTCTTGTGGGGCACTCGCTCGCTGGTCATGGACCATCTTTGATCATCATCAATCAGTCTGCATCTTCTTGGGGTTCAGCTGCGGAGGGTGACGGTCGGCCTGCTCCCCGTTTTGTTGACCACTTTGCGAAACAAGTCATCACATGCAGAAAGAGAATACGTGCGTTCCAGTCCTGAAGGTAGAGCACTGTTTTGGGAGGGGGAAACAAAAGTCTCAAAAGAAGTACTTGGATTTCGCGCAAAGCAAGCTATACAAACAATCCGCTCTTGAATTCCATCACGTGCCTGTCCAGCTAGGCTTTTGTGACCAATGCACCAGGCCTTTGCTCTGTCCATCCCTTTCATTGCCTTTGCGAGAACGCTCACACGAGTAAAGAGACTTGTTCGATCCCGGTATCATACACTGGACTCCTTACACCCCACTGTCTCCCCCAAAAGGAGCAATTTTTTTGCCCTCCCTCCCCGGAAAGATTCGCTACCATTTGATCCTCCCTTTTTTATTTGTCATCATGCATCCCCCGGCCAAGGTGGAAGAACTCCGAAATTCGACACCGAGATAACCTCGTAGTGGTACAGGAAGGGCCGGGGTGTTGAAAATGCAGCAGTTGAAAAGTCACCTTTGCGAAGCCATTTTTGTGATCAAACTCCTCATATGACCGGCCGTGAGCTTGCTGTGCGCAGCCAGCACCCACGGTGGAGCGATCCATCCCTTTATTCCCTAGGGTGGCTTGCTCCGCGTAAAAAGGTAGCGGGGTTGGCCGAATCGTGAAAAAGAAGGTTCATTCAGTCATGCAGCGTCTTGTTGAGCCCGCAGAGCCACGAGTTCAGTCGGTTCGCTTCCTCTTCTTCTTGCCGTTGCTGTCCTCGTCATTTGACGACATGTCGCTACCGTTGGCGGGCATCTCAGAAGCAACCTGGAAGAGGACCTTGCCGAAGTGGCTGTACTCGTCGGGGCCTGGGGGTCCGCCCATGGGAGGTGCGTAGGACATGCCTGGTGGCGGGTGGCCGTACGCAGCAGCCATGTTGGGGTCATCGATCAGGTTCATGACAATCGCGCCCGACCCGTGGGTGCGTGCATGCTGGGTGAGGTTGTCGGAGCGCGAGAACTTCTTGCCGCACTCGTTGCACTCAAAAGGCTTGTCGTGGGTGTGCAGGGACCTGTAGTGGCGCTTCAGGTGTTCTTGCCGACGGAAGCGACGGTTGCACAGCTCGCAGATGAAGGTCTTGGAAGGGTCCTCGGTCAGGGACTGCTTCCTTCCGCGGCGGTTGGGGCCCGAAGGAGGGACCTGTGGTGTGCTGCCATTGTCGGAGGCGCCAGAAGAGCCACTGCAGTTGTTGGGAGAGGTGGACTCGGCGGCGGCGCTGCTGCTCTGATGCTTGTGCTCGGGGGTGGACTGCTGGGGCTCTGAGCTGCTCTGCTCAGCGTCCTGGGCGCTCTCGGTCTTGATGCGCTTCTGGCGGTGGCCATCGCTGCTGCTTGCAGCCGAGTCCGGAGGCGAGGGCATGCCGAAGGACTCGTTGTACTCGGAGTAGTCGGAGAAGCTGTGGGAGGTGGCGCCGGAGCTGGAACGCGACCTGGGCTGGGAGGCTTGGGCCTGCTCGCCGAGGTTGACGAGGCCGTTGACGAAGCTGTCCTCGGAGTCGAGGTCGGAGAAGTCGTCGAAGATTGGCAGGCCGTTGGGGACCGGGGGAGTGATCTCGGAAGCTGACTGCGGTTGCTGCTGGCCGTATGCGACGAGGTCTTGCTCCTCGTTGTCGCCGGCGCTCAGGGTGGGGAGGGCGGAGAACTCGGGTGCAAGAGTGGGGTTGACGGTGCCGACGGTCAGGTTGCGAGGATCGCAGAAGTCGAGGCCCTGCTCTGAACCGGCATAGGGAGAGGGGCAGGGGGAAAGAGACGGGCACGAGATTGACGAGCTGGTAATGGCAAAGTCGGACTGGTGGCCCGGCGCAGGAGATGCGGGTGCGGATGCGCAGAACTGGGGCTGGGCAGCCTGTGCCTGAGCTTGAGCCGGACCCTGTGCCTGGTATGGCGACTGCTGGGGCAGATACACTGTGGAGAGGGGAAAACCACTTGTCAGCACTCTTTTTCTCTGCAATCAAAAATGCACCACAAACTGCCGTCAAGGATGGTGGAAAAAAAAAAAAGGAACTCCGAGCAGTGACGTCCTTTGCGCTCTAGCTCATCAGATGAGCCATTTTTTTTCCCTCTGCCCCTCTCACTTATTCTTTCCCTCATGATGCACAACTCAGGTTCTGGACGAACCCGGACCACAAAACAATGCCATTGTCATATCCCACAACATAATTGACACTCTGCCATTTTCCGCAATTCAAGAAAATGCAACGGGTGTGAGCTTCGACTTACTTGGTGTCATTGGCGGCGAGGAGCATGTGTTCCAGTCGAGCATCGGGAACTGCTCAACGGGAAGAATATCGACTTCCTCCTTCATGCCCATTGGTGTGCCCTCAAGGCCCGAGAACATGGGGTTGAGTGGCGTGGCCAGCATGTCACAGCTGCCCGGGCTGCCCATGACGCTGCCGGCGGCGGACAGTGGTGGTGTCTGAGGGTAGCACATGCCCTCGGACTCGTCAAACTTGACCGTGTCCAGGACGATTGTCGGCCTGTGCAGCGCCTGGTGAACCCGCACCGGGGATGCCTGGGGGGTGAGAACCTGTTGCTGTGGCGCGCTGGTGAAGCTGGGCTTCCCTTGGGTGTGCATGGGTGGCTGTGAGCATGAGGAGTTGGGCCTGGAGAAGCCTGGTGTTGAGGGCAGCGGTGTCGAGGGGAGCACCGGCACCTGGGGGAACATCTGCATCTGCTGGGGCATCGCGTGGGGTGCGTATGGGTGTGCGTGGTGAGATGTGGGCTGAGGGTGGGGGATGAAGTGTCCGTGGTGCCTGTTCTCTGGGTTTGGGTCTGGACTGTAGTAGAAGAAGGCCGGGGCCATTGCTTGTTGTGCCATCATGGACTCCATTGTGGTGGTCTGTCGTGGTGGTCTATCAGCCTCGAGGTGTCCTCTTGATCAACACGCCTTTGGGTATGATGCCAACCCACCAAGATGTGATGATGTGTGTGACTACTGTCTGTGTCGCTCTCTGGTCCGCAGTTACGATATTATGTATACGACGTGGTGGGGTATTGTACACGTCTCTTCGAGAAGAGATGTTGCTGTCGAGGCAAGTGGGCCTAGCGATGGTGTGGTGTCGGATCGATCCGGTTCAAGGAATGGTTGGCAGCCTCAAGTCGGTGAGATGAGGACTGCTAGTTGGATGCTCGTGGGCTGCTGTTATACATAAACTCGTCTGGGGATGGGACCGGGTCTTGAATATTGACTCTGTTGACGGTCAAGGATACAAGGCGGTAAGAGAGTGGAGGACGCGTGGTCGCTGTATGTGGTCTCAAGAACGAGTTATACTGAAAGAGGGGATGGAATGGATATTCCAAAGTCGAGTCCGGTAAAGAAAGGAAGAACCAATATGTAAAATGGAAGAGGGAAACGTCTAGCTATCTGCCGATCACGAAGTGGAAACGAGAATGAGCGTGGTGAAGGGCAAACCCCAGAGAATATGTAAAGAGTGAGGGCAAGTGTATAGTCGAAAGGTTCCCAAAAAGGATCAGCACCACCAGCGAATGGGTGTATTACCCAGAAAGGGTAGGGGAGGTAGCTGACTGGGGGGGGGTGCTCAGGCTCGTCTCCCGGTCCCTACCCTGGCCTTGGACCACCACACCGCGGAATGGGATGCAATGCACCATGACCCTGTCCATGGCCCAACCAGACCTCCACCCTTGCCCACCTTTCCTCTTGTCTGCTTGTCTCACCTGCGCCCGCCGCTGACGAGGGCTCCAGTCCCGGAACCCCGGCGGGCGAGACGGTGCAGAAACAGCATCCCTGCTCGCATGTCTGGGGCAGGGGGCTGTACATGGTGGGAGGGACTTGGGGGTGCTGGGTGGCAGGGTGGGTGGGCAGAGGTGCGCTAGCCGGATCCTATTTTAGCGACCTCTCTGCGGCCCTTTGAGGTCGGATGTACCGCGCGACGATGGGTACAAGGCCCATCAGGGTCGTGGGTCCTATGGCAGTCCCGGGGTCCCGAGTGGCCCAGGGCCCCAGGGCCCCAGGGCCCCAGCGGGGGAGCAGGGACCCCAGCACCAGACAGAAGACGTGTGTGCTGGTCCGCCGGTCGAAGTTTGGGCGGGCACTACTGCCATGTGCATGAGACCAGCAAGCCTGCAAGCCCACCACATACGACATACGACACCTCGCAGCTCACAAACGGGACAGCACGAACAGGGCCCCCAGTACTGTGCAGCTCCCCAAGACAAGAGCCTACAGACCGCCTGGTGTTTTGGGACTGCTACTGGTCAGTTGCCCAGGACAGAGGAGGCGTGTGGCATGCTCAGTGCTGTTACGAGCGAGCAGGCGAGCACCAAGAGGACAGGCCAGGTTCAGCTTGTTGGCAGCATACGAGTGCTTGTTTGCCACCGCGCAGGCTTTTCTCCCCTCCCGCCAGCCCGCCAGCCCGCTCGTAGCGTAGCTGAACGAGGCCAGACGTCAGGCAGGGCATACGAGCCACAACCAAGAAGTGGGCAGCTCTGACGTTGAATCGCCGGCTGGCGATGGGAGAGTCAGCCCGCGGGTGTGGAGGCAGGAGGAGAAGAGAAGGCCTCTCATTCGAGTTTGAGACCGGGCACAGGACCAGCTCCGTGCAATGATAGTGCAGCATTGTCATGCGGTTCCTCATACGCGCTGTCGCTCACAATTTTGAAGGCACTGTGGGAAAGCCACCGGTACTCCGCTATCACCACATGGAGGGTGGCACGCCCAGCGCACAAAGTCGAGAGGGCGCTGAAATTGGTGCTCTTGTCCTGGAGGTTGTTCCCGGCTTCTGGTTGGGATTCGGGCCCAGCAGGACCCCACAAGTACCGCACAAAAGATGTACTGTACTGTGCCTGTCTTGTGCCGTGCATAACGCCGGCGCAGCGGTGGGGCTCTGCTCCACTTGATAGGACAGAACTCGTAGGACAGCCGCTGACCACACAATCGCTCAGCAGGCCGCTCAGCAATCGTCGCTCGCACTCGATGATTGACTGGTCCCGCCTGTCCGCGCGCAGAAGTGCACCTCGACGCACTCATTCGCTTCCTGACGTCCCGGCGCCCGCCCAATGACTCTCCCCGAGACGGGTGACGACAAGTGCCATGCCTGCGCTAGGCCTTGGTGAGTGTGCCAAAGCTTGTGCAGGACGTGACGCTCGAGATGACTGCAAGACACTTCCCATCAGAAACGCCCGTTTGCCGACGAGCGTTGCGACCTTGACCCGAGCGTCGCGCCGTCACCGTTCAAAGCGCCAGCCCAGCGGCCAGCGTGACTGTTGATGGTGTGTGACGGCCCCAGAGTGCTAGGGAGACTGGGAGACCGGGAGACCCAGCTGCACAGCACATGCACAGTACTTGGTCCTACTAGAGTTCATGCGTGGTGGGTGATCTTCAGGCACCTCCCATGCCTGGCTACCTGCCACGCCACCGCGCTTGTCAGTCGACCCGGCAAGTCGAAACATGCAAAAGTGGGTTTGTTCTGTCAAGCGCGCCAGGCGATCTTCCGACGAGGCCTCTCGAGTCAATAATAGCATTGAAAATGTCGTCCTATCATCGTGGCCGAGGATGAGCCGTGGCGCAGGCCAAACGAGGTGGCAATGCGCAGAGCAGTAGTGGTCAAGTCGATGCGTCTCCCAAAACCGAGGTCTATTGGCCACTTTTGGGCAGTGGTCCGGCGGGTAAACTTGCCAGCTTGCTTCGGGCAACATGGGATATATTACGCCAACGGCTGAAGACGTAACCCAGAGCCAAATTTGAACATACAGCTGCATTAGCAGTGCTAGTCGGATCTTGAAAAAAGAAACCGAAATCTGCAGTGAGATTTTGATAGCTCGGTCCGACGCTGACAGCAGAAGCTCCAAAAAAGACGTTGTGACGGTGGTAGTAGGATCACTCGATATGAGGAGGGGGGAAAAAATCTGTTGACGATCTATCCAAGAATAAGTCGATTGAGTGATATCGCACCGGCGCCCAAGGGCCTGACGACTGCATCTTGGGGGCGCGTGCCTATCAACAAGTGTCCTGGACCGAGTTGGTGACTGGACGACTGGACGACTGGACGGATTTGCTCCCCCCCTCATCTCCCAACCAGCGGGCGCCACTCACAAGCTCTCAGCCAGAGGATGCGTCACGAAGGCTTGCTGGTGGTTCCTTGCAAGTAACAGTGGCAATGAATGGAGCATCGTAATGCTCATTTTGCCTCCAGGATGGCGGACAGCCCTGTATGTGGAGTTTTACTTGGATACGGCGCGGCCCACTCTCGAGGTATAGTGTCTTGAGTGTCTTGGGTGTACGATGACTACGATGACGGGCCATCAGCGGCGCTAGCAGAGTCGAACAAGACGAGAAAAATAGAGTCAATGTGACGAAATGCGCATATCCCGGTCTGGAGGCCAACCAGAGGCTCGGGCAAGACGCCGGGTGAAGCCGCATTAGCCAGTCGAGAGAGCCCGGTGGCCTGGAGCGGCTGCAGGCACCTGACGCCACGGCCAGCCTGCCAGTCAGAAGGCGACGCACGGATTTTGCTCAGGCTTTGGGGCACCGGGCGCCGGTGTGTTCTGTGTGTGTGGTCGCGCCGGTGTGTCCCTGGGGTTGCTTGGCGTAACGCTTTGGGCAGCCTCGTTGGCGGGTGCAGGTCGCAATGGGCGGCAGCTTCGCCTGAACAGTCCATGGCAGCGAGCGGCCTTTTACGGACGGGTATAGCTTCACATGTTGACGCCGCTGAGGACCCAATGTGTGACGTGTGACCACCTGGGCAGGCACGAATTATGGTCCACCCGCGTGGCTGCTCCGGGATCTGGACTCGAATCTCTTGCCAGAAGCCACCAGCCCTAGGCCAAGCCATCGTAATATGTAGCGGCAGAGTGGCCGTCAACCCAGAGCACCGGGTATTGCGGCCGACAAGAATTCATCATGGTCTGTCTGTCTGGCAATGGCCCTCCTCCGTGTGGCTGTCTCGAGCCAGTCCAGTCGGGCCTGTACCAGCCACGTACGCGGTGGGGCAGACCTGTCGAACTGTGAAGTCTGACTATCTGACTGTCTGACGATCTGGCTATCTGGCTATCTGACTATCTGACTATCTGAACCGACAGGCCGACTACCCTCGTCCACTGCGGCCATTCCAGACAAGGCATCACGACCGAGACTGCTTGCCTCGGCCTTCCGTTCCCGATCCCGCTCCCGCTTCCTGTGTCGGGTTGACAGGCAAGCCGTCTCGTGTCCTCTTGCCCCTCTGTGGTTCAGCTTGCGGGCTAGGACTGCAGTCGACAGAGGACATACGACGGCCATCTATCTACCTGCCCTCTTCTGCTTTCGCATATTGAAACATACCTCCTAGTACGACCGCTAGTCTCCACACCAGGCCGTCCGCCTCGACCAGTAGAGTGCGCAGACCGACACTACTATGCACAAAAATGGCTCGATTGGGCGACCAATGCGACTCTTGCAGCCTAAATGGCAAAATCCATGGGCGGCTTGCACCAATTCCATCCACTGGTTCTTGTTTCAGGTTTTGCCGCAAAGACGGTTGGTTGGCTGGACCAGCACTACCACCAGATCAACGCAGCAGACGGCTATCGTTGCTGGTGCTGGTGCTGGTGCTGGTGCTGGTGCCGGTGCTGGTGTTGATCATGGGCTCGAACAACCTGACAACCCGGTTACCGCATCGTGGTTTTCACTGCCCTCTATCGACAGCCAACCGGGTGGGTATACCACCGTGCACTATTGCTTCCCGGGCAAGGATACGCTCTGTCTTGGGGGGACTATTGAGCCAACGGTTAACATGTGTCATAGCAGAACCACGACGCCCAGCAGTGCCCCACGTTATACAGTTGGTAACTGCATAGTATTGTCTGGTGCATGACCGTCGTCATCGCCCTGTCTGC